TTGCTGAACACAGAGAAATGACTCCTGAAGGATCTGCATTGGGCTTGAGCATATTGAAATGTTTTTAATGTGTACTTGAAAAACGGCTATATCTACAAGGAGATGCCCCCCCTGACAAGGATAAGCCTAGTATCTCAATCACTTTGCAATCATGAGACCAAAGAAGGCAACTTTTAAGACTCGAGTGGTGTTCAACGCCTCCAAAACTAAATGGCATTATTTATCCAGAGTCCAAGCTTCTTCAGTTTGATCGGTTTGATGTGTTGCTACATTTTTGAAGATTTCTAGTTGCCCTGGTATGTGACATATTCGAGATGTATTTATGAATTGGAATGATGCCATCAAATAGACCGTTCCATCACCTTTTGTGGAGAGACTTGGATCAGTCAAGACCCCCTAAAGAGTACTAGTTTCAAAGTTTGGGCTTGTCAGTTTGGTGTCAAATCGTCCATTTGTCAGGCACAGTTCATATCTTAGAAGCATGCTGGAGAGAACCTAATAATGAGGAATGCTTAAGAACTGTATAACCAGCCTTTTAAACTATGGCAGTCCGCTGGCTTGTATGCGAAGAAATGGCTCTTGAACTCACAAACAGTTGTCAATAACATACCACAAGAAGATAGGGTTGCTAAAGTGGATTTAGACACGAGAATTTGCCTTCAGTAAAGACTGTCAGTGTTTTGTTTTACCTAGACAATTAGTCTGCAGCAAGATGGTTGCCCCTTAACCAAGAGGAAGTTCCAGTAAAAGGTAGCTATGCTGTTTGATCCTATCGGATTTCTGGCACTGCATGTGATAAGAGCAAAAATACTCCTTCAAGAGATGTGGGCCTCTGGATTTGACTGGCACGATCTACTACACCAAATCCAAGGTAGAAGAGCCAAAATTTAGGAGCTTGGAGATGTGCAAACTACTCCATTGTCTGCAATTACAGTTTGGTTGCAGAGAAGTGACACTGCATACCTTTACTGACGCATTGGGAGAGGCACATGGCACAGTCTCCGCAGATTAGTGGCCTTCAAGACATGAGTGGCGTGATTCTCAGCAACCAGTGCTCCTAGATTGAAACTTACAGGTGCCGTGTTGGGACCGAACTTAGCAAGGTCCATAGCAAAGGTACTCAAGATTGACAGGAGCCTTCTGACCTTTTGGAGTGATAGCATGATCGTTTTGTGGTGGATACAGGCTCATAAGCATAGCTTTAAGCCTTTTGTGGCAAATCGGACTAGGAGAAATACATGATTAAAGCAGTCCTAATCAGTGACAAAACCTGAGCGCTTGGGAAAATCAAGCTGATCTAGCTACCAGAGACGTTACACTAACTCATTTAGCACAAAGCGAGATGTCTCAAGTGTACTAAGGCTTGACCAAAACATGGAAGTGATGCTATTTTGATTGCAGTCATTTTTCTACCTATCCACTCGAAATAAGAGACTGAAAGTTGTGGACATGGTTCTGGACTTTGTGTGATATATTAGTAATAAACATTATAAAAAAACGTACTTTACATTTTTGAAAAAGGGGAATATTAGAAATGTCCATAGATTAGTGGATGTGTAATAGAACTAAAGATACATACCTAAAGTTTATCATTCCACCTTTTAATGATGTCCACATTCGTTAATAGTAATTCTTTTCTGGCGCCAAAGGAATGGTGGGCGTTTATAAAGCGACTTTGGGTCAGTTTTTGGAGAAGTAAATACTAGTTAAGCTTGTTGTCCGCAATTAAAAGGTACTTTTGAGAAGAAAAACAGTCAAAGATTGAAAATTTGGACGTTTTTCTATCATAAATAATGCCTAACATTTCCCCATTTTGCAAAATCTATTCGCAGCAAGTACTATCCATAATTCGCCACCATTTTTATTTTTAGCGAGCAGGGACTCGGAACAACTTAACAAAAATGTGCTCTAGCCCACTCTACAGGATTGAAATATCATTTGTTTTTTCTGCCAGTGGTGTCCCCTTAGGTAAAAATGGCACAATTGTAAAGATGGAGGACAAAATTCACTGTTTTTGAACGCTTGTTTAGAAGAGTACAGAAGAAAAAGGAAGCTGATCAGACCTGTTACGCTGCTTTTTCTTACATTTCTAGGGCTGATTTCCCAATTTATTGAATAAGTCTTACACAAGTCACCGTTCTAATGCCTTATTTATATATTAAATACACTTAACTAAAAGGGTCCTGAAGACAGGGTATTTGCTTATCTGCTGTCCACCGTTACAACTTGCATTCCACTCTCGAAGTCGTTATACATAATTTGCGCGAAATATGCCTTACAGTAAGTAAATGGTCTCATCTTCGCGGGCTATCGATCCTATGTCTTATTGTGTACGAAAAACCTTCCTGTTTCTCTTATTCATCCATCCACAACAGTTTCTTTAGAAACAAACAAACATCCTACAAGGATGGCCGCTGAATGTGCTTGGGGGCGAGTGTTCATTTGCGAAACAAAAAATTTGTGTTCGAACTTGACGAAGTCTCCGATTGAAGGCAGTGCAAAATTGTATAAAGATTATCCCAAGTTTATTATTGGACAGTATGACTTTAACCGCGTTTGCAAGATTTTAGATGAGAAGATATCAAACTGGAGAAATAAAGAAGATAAGGAAATCTACTTAACCACATTTTCGGTGGATAACTGGAACAAGGGAAAGACCATATCCAAGGAAATTAAAAAAGCACATTCATTAACGAACTGCAAGGCTTGTACAACCCTGCATTCCAATCTTCAGGAGACTTTTCCCATCGGTAAGAAGTGCAAGACAGTGAATAAAGGTCCCCTCAGTGAACTTCACACAGATGCCAGCAAGCACACAGCTCAAAACATTGTTCCAGAGGGCCTTTTAAAGACAAGTAATAAACAACTCAAGACTGTTGGACAAGCAATTTATTCAACATATGACGAAAAATGCAAAGAAAATTTTGGAAAAGTCCCTTACTGACATTCTTATTCTCGTTCCTGAAGCAGGTCTTGAAAGGAAACTTTCTCCTGTAGAATAAAGGAAATTAACAAGAAATCAGCAAAGGAAATTGAAAACAAAATGAGTGAGAATGATGCTGAAGAAGACCTGGTTTCAAGGCAATCATACAGGGCCATACAGTATCACCGCATAGCCCAGACACATGAAACCTTAGCAGAGGCAACTGAAAGGGCAAGAGTGACACCTCCGAAAGTAAAAGAAAGGACCCACGTCTCAGCTTCAGATAACATCATAGGAACCTTGGATCAACTCCTCGAGGATATCAAGACTTGGCCTAGTGGTCCTGTTAACTGGTCAGAGAAAGCCAGGCTTTACAAGATAAGGACCACAGGCCAAGATTCAACTCCCCCCAATGGAGGTCAGATGATCAAGTCTTTTTTACAACACAGAGGAGTTGATATAAGTCACTTGGGACAAGGAAAAACAAAAGGTACGCTTTCTGAACACCTTTTATGAACAAATTTATAACAAAGGAACATATATTAAAAAATGTATACCCAACCATTTGTAACTGTTACTTAAGGGAATACCTATAAGTGCTATTCCTTTTTTTTTTTTATTTTAATCAAGTTAACCTTCAACTCGAATTAGCAGCTGATGCTTACAGTAATAGTGTTTGTTTACAGGAGGTTTCACTTTATCTAAAGTAATTGTGCAATAAATTGAAAATACACAGCACCATGCTCATTGGTACTTTTGTAAGGAGAATTTGTTGGGAATAAATTATAAAGAAATAATCCCATTACTATTTTACACCTTTCACTTGCCAGTTTAAACAAGCCAATTTAATTTATTGTTTTTAAATGTTACTTCTAACAGGGTTCCGAGTACGGCGAGCTATAAGAAAGCAGAGAAGAGGAGGAATGTCTGTTCCAGTGACACGCACTAACGGAAAAATCAAATTGATTATTAAGGGGTCGTCGACATGTTCACTTTTCCCCCGCTTAACGTCAACTGGACATTTAGGTCAGACCCTCCCCCTCCCCCCTCCTTAACGTCCACTTGAAATTTTGCTGCCCCATAAATCACTGCATTCCAGTACGAATACTGACATGCACTTTTTACGTGAAGATGTCACCGATTTACTGTTTTAAAACGTGGTAGAAACTTCATACATCGAATTATGCTTTGTCCTACCTGCATAACTGCTTTTTCCTGTCAATGCTTTTGATTCCCTACTACACTACAGTATTCAGAGGTCAAAGCCAGAATCGCTGGTACAAGACCGCCATGTTATTAAACAACATACTAAACCTCCTGGCCAGCGGCATTCCATTTTCTACTTCACGTATGCGTTACTCTTTCGTTACTCTGAAAGCACGTGCTTTTTTTTTTGTTTGGAGATGTCAAAGCAACTTACCCTGTGGACATCTGCAAATGATAATAAACGTGCAGGGAACTTAATATACAAAGACCCAAAAGAAGTTTATAGAACGTTTTGTAAGGAGAAACAAAGGTCAAGCCTCGAGGGAAAGTGTTGTTCGATCAGCACAAGAAAAATGGAAAGAGCTATATAGCTGCAAAAGGAGGAGAAGAAGAAATCCTCTCATTGGAAGAAAGTCGGCTTAAGAGTTCTCACGATGAGAATCCAAAAAAGAACGCTGACGTTCAAAGGATGTGTTGAAAAAAGATTCCAGTTGTGTTCACAAACGTAACTAACCATAATTTTTGGTATTGTAAAAAATAATAGTGATTTAGGACAGAGTTTAAAAGATCACAATGTAAAGTGTACAATTTGTTAGTAGTTAAGGGCAGAGTTTAAAAGATCACAATTTACAATCACTTCTTTAGTTGGTCCTGCTTTCTCTTTAGTTATATCACGAGCATCGTTCCAAACACGACGTATAATTCATGAAAATGCATCAGTTTGCTTTTGTCCAAAAATGCCCCGCACTAACATCCACTGCCTTACCCCCTCCCCCCCTAAACGTCCAGTTGACGTTAAGCGGGGGAAAAGTGAATATGCTGATGGCCCCTAAGGAACGGATTACAAAAATTTCAAAGTTAGCAATAAACAATGAAGGTGAAGTGGTGCAGAGAAATAAATGTTCAGGCCAGAAAAATCGCTTTCGAGGAGATAAGAAGAGAGGCTTTGATGAGAAACAAAGTTCTACTGAAAGTCAGGGATGATGGCTACTACAACAAGTTGACTAAAGAAAATCTTAATATAGAACTTAAGAAAATACATGAAGAAATTAATGATAATGTTGAGGAAATGAGAGAAAAGCTTAACAAGTATCAGCATCAAAGGCACTGGCTTCTCTGGCATGTTCATTCCACAATTGCAAATTATGGCCACATGTTGTTTTGTTTTCCAGAACTTTATGATCCTGCCATACATGTGACGAGAGGGGAAATGTTGGAGAAGACTGGGAAAGATGTTGATGTTCAAGCGACAGTAGAGGGGCCTCAACTGTACATCTTAGGTCAGAGCAAGTCAACAGCTGAAGACCAGATGAAATGCATTCTATCACGCCAAGAAGATCTCAGGGATCTCAAGAACCCCACTGAGACAGATTCAGGCATTGAGGTGTGCGATATCATGAGATTCATGAATGGTGATAACCCTGACACAGAAATGGAAGATGGAACCCAGCATGGTGGAGACTATGGATGCCCAGGCTGTGATGGCAACATTAACTCCAGCTATGACCTTCAATACAAGATCCAAAGAACATACAAAACACTGGAATGCAAAAGAAACCTAGTTCTTTCTAGACCTGCTGGAAGAAAAGGAAGATTACACCTCTTTAAAAATATGAAAGTTGGTGAGCTGAAAGAAGAGTTAAAAGGGAGAGGAAGGTCTGGTGAAGGTAAAAGAAAGGAGCTGCAAAAAGAATTATCAGGCATTCTGGGAAGAACAACAAGACTTCCAGCCTTACTGCACCCTGGTGATGTCTCTGTGGAGGAACTTAACCTACAAAGATATGAAGTGCTGTTCTTTGAGGCTCTGCACTGCTCGATGAATCATATCAAGAATGCGTTGCAAGAGCTACCACATCACATCACTGACATTGACTCTCTCATTAAACTAAAGTAAATTCTTTCAATTCAGTACAGCAAAGATAAACTGAGAGGTGTAGATTACAGAAAGACCCTGATCTATGTCACCATTGCTCTTTACCTACTCGCTAATCGTCAAATTAGACTGCTCCTTGTTACTCTCTGTGAAATGATTGAAATATTTTATTCACAAGATGATGCACGATCACCAAAGATGATTCTACGCCTGCATAACCTTTGTTGGAGGCATGCAATTCAGTGTAGAAGAGTGCTGACTCTAACATACAGAAAGCTGTTTGGAATGTATTTCCACAGTTGCACTTCACATTCTGGTCAGTTGCTGAGAGTAGTTTTCCACAGATCAACTAATGAAACTTACAGACATAGAAGAGAGAGAAATCAGTAGAATGGCAAAAAATCTACCAAAGTTAGAAAACACTATCATCCTCAAGACTGAGCTTGAAAAGTATGCAGGTGACTGGGCTGTAAACTTGAAGATGATTGCAGATTTCTTGGAGCCAGGAGGTGTGTGATGGAAGGAGATGGAAGACCACATTAAGTTCTTTCATGGATCCAGTGAAGTAAGTTTCAGACAAGAGGGACCTCCGCTGCACCACTTCTGTTCAACCTCTATAACCAAAGAACAGGAACTATTAGAAGTCAGCTGGAACAAATGTTTGGAAAAGAAGTCTAAGATTCCTGCAATGAAACTACGAAGTGATTTAAATGGTAGGTGAGAACGACCTTCTGTGTGTTGCTCAATAAATTCAATAGCTGATCCCAGTGCCCAAGATGATGACAGCAGCAGTGCGCCTCAAGTGAAAGTGGAGTCTGGAAATCTTTCAGAATGTGAAGATCCTTCTGAGTGATGATGATGATGATGTTGAGGATGATAATGATAGTGATGATGATGATGATGATGACGGTGATGATCATGGTGATGATGGTGATAGTGGTGGAGGTGGAGGTGGTGATCGTTTCCCAAAAATTCAGTTCCCCTTTTTTGAAGCTTTAAAATAATACTAAGTACTGCGAAAATCTTTCTATAACTATATCTCCTGGTAAGTTTTATGCAGGAAGAAGCTAAAAAGCACATTCTCAGATCTTTTGCTAAAAACGACAAATAAATATGGACGTTTTCCCGCAAAAACGTTCCTCGTAAGAGGAACGGCCATGGAAAGGAACGCTCGTTCCTATACTGTATGAGGAGATGTTAGCCTTAAATTTATATCAGCAAACAAGGGTTTACCCAGAGCGAGGTTGATCATGACCTCTGGTGGTTCACCGTTAAATCCGTAGAATCCCTCTTTTCCGTGTGTGGCGAAAAGTTCTTTGAAATGGAAAAGAAATGCATTAAGCATCGACTGCTGGTGAAATTCATACTCGGTAAGACTCCAAGGGTTAACCCAGAGCGATTTTGTTTCGTGATATCTACTCACATGAGTTTGTATCCGGCATATCCGTTTTATCCGTTGATTTTATACAATCAGTGTTGGATTGCAAAAATCGTATTTAAGCAAAGTTTGTTCACAACCTCTGGTGGTTCACCGTTAAATCCGTAGAATCCATCTTTTCCGTGTGGGGAAAAGATCTTTGAAATGGAAAAGAAATGCATTAAGCATTGACTGCTAGTGAAATTCATACACGATAATACTCTTTAAAAAGAGTAGTGGAAAATACGGATTTCACGGATTTCCCGGAGACATGAATGCTTAATAAGATAACTTGCAGTCATGACTGACTGCTAACTGAAAAAGACTCTTTTAATAGAGCGGAAAATATGGATTTCACGGATTTCACGGAAATATGAATATGTAATATTATTCAATGTTAATTTCATATAATACTTCTCTTCTTTACTGTAAGTATCTTTATACTATTATTAATATAATATATATATATATAATTGTATTAAGATACTTACAGTAAAGAAGAGAAGTATTATATCAAATAATTTTGAATAATATTAAATATTCATATCTCCGTGAAATCCGTATTTTCCGCTGCTCTTTTAAGAGTCTTTTTCAGTTGGCAGTCAGTCATGACTGCAAGTTATCTTATTAAACATTCATGTCTCCAGGAAATCCGTGAAATCCGTATTTTCCACTACTCTCTTTAAGAGTTTTGCCATCTATGAATTTCACCAGCAGTCAATGCTTAATGCATTTCTTTTCCTTTCAAAGAACTTTTCACCATACACGGAAAAGATGGATTTTACGGATTTTGTGGAGCCATGCAGCTTCGAGTTCATACTTTTTCATACATTTTCTGTTTTCGTTTTAGAAAATTGGTTTTTACAGATTTTCCGGAGACATGAAGCTTCAGTTGAGTTAAGGTTCCACCTTGAGCATTACAAAAACTACTTTATTGAGATCGCAAACATCTTTCAGCCTCAAAAGGCAAAAGGGAGCCGCTTAAAACCAAGAAAAAGGACTGTTGTAAAACAGCTTGCACTCTTTTAAACAGTTTTACCGTTTATAAATTTCAGCACACACGGAAAAGATGGATTTTACGGATTTAGTGGAGCCATGCAGCTTGGAGTTCATACATTTTCTATTTTCGTTTTAGCCAAAATTTTCATCACACACGGAAAAGATGGTTTTTACACATGCATTTTTGAGCATTACAGAAACTTCTTTTAAAGAAGGTCCGTTAAAAAAAAAGCTTGAGAAATAGAATCATCTCTTGCATTTCATTACCAAGTTCGCTCCTAAATGGTGACACTAAATGCATCACATCTTTTCGGTCTTTCCTTTGAATCATTGTTTGAGAAAAGGTGCCGGCCGCTACCTGGATTGAATGACAGTTTTGATTGCATTGTTTGAGCGTCCGAGAAAACAAGTCAGAGAACAGGTCTAATGATCCTATCATTATTGTGCTTCACCGAAAAGGGTCGGTTTTTTTGCTTGGATTTCTCCTGGGGAGCACCATCATAATAGAGCGATTGTATTGTTTGCGTTGAAGTTGCCCTCTAAATTACACAAGAACGTCCTTATTGTCTTGGGCTAGCAACAACGATTCATACTTTAAAAGAACGCGCAAAAAAGGAACGCCCTTTCTGACGCTCATTTGATGGTTACATAATCTTCGACACGTCCTCGTCAACATAATTGACTTCAAAACATGACAAACAAACTAAAGAATCATCTTTCATAGTTAGTCATCAGCACGTCGAAAACAGAGCCAACAAAAGGCTAAACTTTCAAATTTATTCGTCAAAATTTCACAGCGCTTATCCACTATATAAACACCGCACCCATGCCACAACATTTGTGCCACGAACGAAGAATGCAGCGAACAAGACAGCCATGTCGACAGCTCAACAGCGAGGGCATTAAGAGCACGGCCTTGTGGTACCTAACGCCGGTGATAAGTGGAAGGTGTAGTATTATCAGCGCTAAATGTGTTTGTAAAGTAAAGGATAAGGCCTTGCCAAAGGCCTGGGCAACAGTTTGTGGAAAGCGAGATGTGTGCGATCGTGCAATATCAGGTTAGTATTTTTGCAATACGCCGGTTTCAGATGCGATTTTAAAGAACATTTTAGTGCAAACGTTTGACGCATTTTTATCTTTCTAATACTGCAGGTATCCACAACGTGGCATTTTTCTTTAGTGCTATAGCCAGCCAAGAGAAAAAAAAAGGCAGTATCAATGAGAACACAGACGAGGAGAGTAGTTCTGAACATGAGATTCCCAGCTCGTTTTCTCAACAATGGCTCGAAGGCAATTTAACGAACGTAAACAAATCACTCTGCCCGGCGATTGCTTACTGGGTCGCGTTGACGACCGTAAACGGTGCGCCCGCCAGCCCAATTCCCGTGCATAAAGCCCTGTTGAATTCAGGACTGGAAGTCACAGCAACACAGGTAATTAAATTATTTTCTTACATTTTGATAACCCAAGCATTCCCTTAGCCGTGAACAAAGTATTCAGCATGTCTTGATTCATTTATTTCTTTGCTAATGGCAAAAGATAAATCTATTGGCAAAACAGTACCCGGTTTTAAGATTTTTTCTCTTCTCGGTTTCTTTGAAAGAAAACCTAACAACAACGACTGTACTTTTGTCTTGTGACACTGCCATTATCAACTTGAATTTTTTATTTCGGAATGATTTTTGTCGTAACAGAAGTAATTCTACCGTAATTTGAGCTCAGTTTTCAATTGTTTCCGTTTTTTTTCTAATTGAAAAAGTGCTTGTCCCACGGACAAGTCATGTCAAAGGTTTACCGTGCAAACTGAATTTCTACCAGTCCCGGACAATCGGACATAGGTTTTGGTGCACCCCGAATTCGTTGTTAATAATAGTAATGATGATAATAATGACAATAATAAACGATACAAGCGGTCAGTCAGTGAAGAAAGAGGAAACGTAGAACAGGTAAAATGCTTCAATTTTATATCATTTAGGTGCAGTTTCAAGAGGGAAAAGAATCCCCAGCCACAGCAGAACTTTACAAAGTGTTGAAAGATCACAAAAATCCTTTTATGCAAGACCTCGTTAGCTCGTCCTTCAAACACTGTTACCTAGACGAAGCGAGAAAGGTGATCGGCAATGATGGCTTATGCACCCAGGAGTTGGACGAGTGTGGAACTGAAAATGTGGTGAGAGTGACCCTGGTTAACCCGAAATTTCACACGTCCTTACTGAGTGCAGTCGAACTTCTGACCGCAGCTAAGCTACAATTAGACAAATTTGGCTTTGAGTCCAGCACGACAACGTCTCAAGCTTCCACCAGTCAGCTATCCATGACGTGCGATGAGGATAAGATGCTGTCGGCGGATAAACTTGCAATCCTCGTTAACGATATAGCGATCGCCATGGGAAAACTGGGCTATGCAAGCTACCGGGGCAAAGTCTATAAGAAGAATGACCAAGCCAGATACACGTATTCGTATAAATGCGGGGAAAGAGCTTTCGTCAACACCCTCGCCACCAACGAGTTCCTCAAGTCAAGACTTCTTCGCGAGATGAAGAGAGTGATCGACCTGTTATCCGATCCATTCTGCGAACTTTTTTTGCCGTTAACAATCAACTACGACCTCATCGAGGTAAAAGACGGCCGCTGTTGGTCCATCAGCCGGCGGGACTTTGTTGAAGATGCCATTGAGGAGCAACAGGTGGGAAAGATCTCGCCGAGAGCATTCTGTTCCTTCGACTCTGCAAGAGATCCTGATCCAAAGTACTTTCGAGAAGTCTTAGAGAACAGCCTAAGCCCGCAGGAGGTGGCGAAGTTCTGTGACGATTTCCTAAAGCTGCTTCTCTACAATAAAAAACAGCACAAAGACAAGGTGCCGTGTTTGGTAGGCGATGCCAACAGTGGAAAGACGAGTTTGTTCATGCCCACTCTAGGCCTCATCCATCACGGCACCGTGGCCACGGTGACAAAGCAGAAAGCGTTCAATAAATCAATGATAACGCCCTTCACTGAAGTGATATTCATCGACGAAGCCACCGAACGCACGCTTGATATTGACGATTGGAAGATCCTGACTCAGGGTGGGTATGCCGCCCACGACGTGAAATATCAAAGTGCCCGGGCATTCATCAACCGCTGCCCCATGCTGATCACCTCACAAAGGAAGCTTGAGTTCGGTCCCACCGATCAGCCTGCCATGGAGAGGAGGCTAAGAACCTACACCTTCAGAAGCCTGCCCCGGCCAAAAAAGAAGGCGTCCAACTGGATGAGAACGCATCCCATGGATTGCGTCCTATGGGCAGCGCAAAAGGCAGAAGAGGCTGAGAACGAGGACGAATCGGAAGACGATAGCGACGAGAGTACACAGGAGGAGGAATCGACCTTTGCCGAAGGTGTGCTGCGCGAAGAAGAGAAGGCAGAGATTCGGTCAATGTCACTGCCGGTGCTTTTGGCCAAAGAGATACCAGCGGTCGACACGTCAGACGAGGAAAATCCAGAGGACGAGAGCGACGGCGATTCAGTTTCGTCTTCATCCTCACAGGCAGATCGTATGGCGCATTTACGAGATCTCCTTGAGAAGACACAGCCGGGTTGCCTGCGCCACAGACAGCTCGCGCAGATGCTGAGGACCGAGGAGCACAAAAAAAGGGAAGAAGAAAGGTCACGAGCGGAACGACGCAGAAAGAGGGAGGACTTCCTTCGCTCCAGGGGCGTATCAAACGCGAACTTGAGCCTGTTACCCGACGACCTCGACGATCCCACTCCCAGTCCAATTGCGAGAGATCTAGAGCGGTATGACCAAGCACGGGTAGCAGCCGAAGAACACGCTCGTCGAGAGGCTGCCAGAGAAGCGTTTCAGGGAACTTGGTTGAGATCCACCGAGAAGGATTTAAAGCGATGCTGTGAACGGTACCAGGCTAGTGACGACTCGTCGGAGCGTTCCACGTTGAAGGCCTACATAAAGCAATTGACAGGCAAACTCAGGGACCATCACGTTTCTCTGGGAACGTTTGGAGCTGCCGAGGCTGTGGCGGAACGGAGGAGGGTGTGCACGCTTCTCAGCCTTCTGGACCAGCGCCAACAGTACCTGGTCACGAGTGTAGCGGAGAGACTGCCACTTGCCAATCAGGACGGTGACGGTGTTGATGTCGAAGAACAACAAGAAGAAGAAGAAGACCTGAGTATCTTCGTGACACCTGTTCCAAGCTCGAGCACTAGACAGCCGCATCCGAGTGCGCGTTCAGACCGAACCACAACCACGGAAGCCAGTAAGCGCAAGCGTTCCTCCTCAAGCCAGCGAGTTACCAAAAAACATTGCCAAAGCAACAAAATAAACATGTATTTCTCAAGTCAAAAGTAATTTATTTCTTCTTACAACAACAATAAAATGTTGCTTGTCATGTACTGAACCATATTGCTGATTGCCTTTGTCGTTATTTATATTTCAAGGATATCGTTTTATTCTGGGGTTAATGTAAAGTTCTAGGATAACTTAGAAAGTGATCCGAATCTTCGCGCTGCGCGGCTCAGCAGGGAGTTGGCTGTCCTTCCCTCTTGAAAACGATATTCGGGATCCCTGAGAATCGCTTTCCATTGACCGTAGCCGTGTCTCTCGATGCCTGCTTTCAGATAATTGTCTTCTTCAGGGGTGAACATCAGACTCTTTTTTCTCGCCGGGAAATCTGTCGCTATAAACGCATTTTCCCGCTTTAGTCTCGGGACACCTGAAAGACGCTCGGGTGGTGTTTCTGCGATCGTTTCTCCCTCGTCGTTAGAGGAAGTATTGGTTTTGCTACCGTTTTGATCTTCAGAAGACGCAGAATTGCCAGAAAGCCTCGAGCGCACGTCTATTTCTAGCTCTGATCCCTTTTTTTCCGTGCAATCGTTCCAAATATTCATGTGCTTTGCTCGCCACCTCGCGCAATCGCTGCTTCTGATAATGAACCCTTGCAACAACGGAGCTGTGTTTCTGGTCCTCGGAGATTGTGCTCTGGGCGCTGCTGCTCAGCTGCCTGCAACTCGCGGTCTCCACAATCTGTCGATAGCGAGTCGGGTGAACGTATTTGCCCGTTGCATCGAAGACCAGTTTACTCGTTAGCTCTCCCAGCTTGTTGTGCTGCCCTCCATTTCTTGTTACCAATACAAAGTCGCAGGTCGGTCTGAGTAGGGGCGAATGTGGTTGATGTAGCCATCCAACACTTGCATGCTCGTCTCAGTCAGGTAAAGAGAATCGAAGCCAAATTTTCCAGCCGTTTTGAACATTTTCTGGTCTATAAAGCCACCGTTAGTCTTGGCTTTGTTCACCATTTCCACTGTTAAGTACTGATATGTCATGGGCGCGAGCCCTTGACCTTGATAAATAAATAGACGGCCAAAAATTTGGTAGCAAAAGATAAATCTATTGGCAAAACAGCACCGGTTTCTCCTTGCATGATTTCAATGCGCTCTCATAGCGGCAAGTAGCGCCCCCGACTTCCAACAGTTCTTCTAGTGTGGCCCAGTGCCCCTTGGCTTCTAAGGCATCGATGTCGAGCTTGCTGGTCCACTGCAAGCGCATCATTTTGGAAACGGTTTTGCGCACCTTTTTCAAGTAAATTTCTGTTGAAGCCAGCCCTCTCAACACTGATTCCGATGCTCCATTCACTTTTCGATGATCCACCAATTCTGCAATGGCATCCAAGTAGCCTATCGTCCCGCGTGTCCCAGATTCCAATCATCCTGCATGGTATCAACAAACTTGAAAAAGGAGATTCGGTGAACATAAACTAAAGTCCACAATGTCAAATGTGAGCTCCTCTTCGTCTTCACAACAAAATTTGAGAAACTTTAAGCACTTGCTCACGATCTGTTGTGCTTGTCGATCCCTTTTACAGCCCCACCGCTGCCAGTGAGCCACGAAAAAAAGTTCTTGGCAATTTTGTTCGTAGAATCAAAAGAGGCAATTGCCCTGCTTTTACGCGGCGTAATCTTCTGATCACTGGCTTCACATTTGTCGGTTTCATCGACATTAAGCGTGTCGATTTGCGCACTGTCTGGCTTCTCGTCGAAGTAATAGTACCAACTGTGTTTGCTCTTTACGTGTTTTCTACAGCCTCTTTGCGTAGTGAATCCATCGTGGTTACAAATTTGCACTGGGAAGTAAAAAAGACCATCAGAGTCATCCTCTTCTAAGTGAAGTCTCTTTGGTTTAGGGGATGCATTTGCTAACTTTGACCAGTCGACATCCTTGCCTCGTTTGTTCATCTTAAGCATTAGCTTGAAATCGATATTTTTCTAAAGTATGCATGTTTTTATACTAGCAAAAGGGTCCCCAAGAGATCATCCTATTCGCCAATGAGATATTTGTTAGCACATCTCTGCCCACACTTGGCCATTCTTGCCCCTTGTCCCATTGTTTTCTTGTCCGTATTTGGTACACAATTAATCAAAAGGAACAAAGACACAAGCCTAAACTTGCGCGGGCAAGCCCAAACGAGATTAAGCATGCAGCGGGCAAGTCTCGTACTTAACTTGATTGTTGACAGAAACATGTTTTGATAAATTTGTATAGCGGAGGTGATGGACAGTAGTTTCAGATAGCCTACGATAAATAGGAACTATTGTTCCCTATTCCTTTTTACACTTTGCGCAAAATGGAACTCTAGTTCCTTTGTCACTAATTCGGAACCTGTTCCCATTTATAAGCGGAACATAACACTCATCTTGAGGAACAAAAAACCACCTCGATTAGGAACAATTCCGTTCCTGTTGGGCATGAATAGGAACAATTTGAACCGAAAGGGAACAGGGCGTTCCGAACAGCAGTGGATATGCCAGTAAATAGGAACAATTTGCTCCTTACTGTGTAGAGCAAGAAATTAGATTGGGAACATTTGTTCCCCAATCACTTCGAAAGGAACATGAAGGGAAATCGGAACTGTTGAAAGAGGACCTTTTGTTCCTGAAAGGATAAAAGAGGAACCAGTTGTTCCTTTTGACTAAAACGAAAAGGAACTTTGTGTTCCAATTTGCTGCTAACGGACCAGATTGTTCCGAAATTTGCCGACCTTTGTTCCTCTTGTGCAAATAAAGTTCCTTTATTGTGCGTTCCTAAGTTGTTCCTAAAGCAATTAAAGGAACAAAAAGCAAAAACGCGCGGAACACTACGTTTTTGAAAAATCGATGTTTCCTCGTGTGCGTCACTTAAAATCAAACTTTGAAAGTTTCCTCATGTAAAAAACGGCCTGACAATACTAAGGACAAAAATACAATTGAAAACTACGGTGTTTTAACCTGAAATGTTGCTATCATTACTTTTGGGGAATGTATATGAAGATAAAGATGATGATGGTTCTGAAGAAGGCACAGGGTATTTCAGTGTGGAGACAGCAATAAGAAGGAAGAAACCTCCATCAGAAAGTGACATGGAGTTAGACCTGAATATGAATAAACAGCCCCAATCAGAGAGTGACAAAGACATGAATTTAGAACCACTTAATATCAGTAGTACACAAACACATTCAGAAAGTGAAACAGATCTGGTGGATGAGGGCAACCTACAGCCAATGACAAGCAAAAAAAGGAAAAGAATTGATGAAGCATCATCACTTCATGAGCCACAGCCTAAACAGCAAAAAACAGGATCTGATATTGAATTAATCTCGAAAAGGAAGGAAGAAGTTTTGAAGTACGACAAACTAAAACAAAATGTTGCCAAGAACCCAAAATCAAGGTATCACATCAAACACTATGAAACACATCTCACAAAAATACAAATTCTCATACTAAAGGCATACAAGAAAATTTTTAGTGACATTAAGACCTGGAAGGAAAACTTTACATTGCAAAGGGAGGCAACTGAAGATGACTTACAAATCAAAAATGAAATGGCAACCAAGAGAAAGCAAGTCAGGACTGCTTTAGAGCTGCTCAATCTATGAGAGATTACAGTTCACCTAGCTTGATTTAGTGCGACATCCAATGGACATAGCTGGCAATTATAAACTAAGTTACTTTCAATTTTTATTATCTGACACGTTATTTTTTTCAAAAGTATATTTCAGATTTACAGGACCATGTAATGTAATGTAATGTCAAGTAATGTAAATTAATATTATGGAACAGTTAAATGCTTATCTTAAGACAACTTATTCACTTTCAAAATAGAAAGAACATTTAAATATGAGGTTTAAATATAAAGCTCTTGACAGACTATAAGTTTAATATTCCAGTCCTTCAAAAATTATTAAGTATTTATTGTCTTCATTCGCTTTTCTAACTATTCTTAATCTTTTATCTTTGTTCTACTGCAAATCCTGTTAGTTCTTGAGGGCCACAAGTTTATTTCTAGTTTGCAAGTGACACCTACATTTCATTTAAATAATTATATCTTTTATGCAGTTATTTACTGACTTTCGTACTTACTAGAATGACAAAGCAGACAAGGAAACAGTCGTATTAACTTAAGATTACCTTTCGCTAAATTCGTGAATTCTGGCAGGTTTGTCCTTTTTCTCAATACAATTCACTCTGAATATTCAAGAATGACAAGCAGTGGCATATTACATGCTGAAATAATAATTGCTGGGCAGTCACTTATACGTTTGGCTGTAAATTACGTTTAATCAGTATGGTAACATAAGCTTAGTTGCATGCAGACAGCAGAGTGCGAAAGTCCTATTCGTAAAAGTTCTCATCAAATTCAATATTCTCACAAGAACACTTTAAGTGCCGTACAACAATAAGCAAGGAGAATCTACTAGTTAATGTCAAAGGAAAACAATACGCGTTCCACGAAAGCAAAGCAATTCAAATCTCAAAAACATGCTAGATGCTTCTTCAAAATTCCTCGTAAAGAGGTTAATTATTAATAACTAACTTAGAGCCAAATTTGAAGCCGCACGTTCAATATCATTGTGCTGTCAAGCGAGCACTTTGCCATCAGATTAGGCATCGATATTTTACCGTAAACAAAAGAAAGAAGGCTTACCTTCGATGGAATACATTTTGTCCAAAAATCCAATGACAAGATGAAAAACCCTATTGTAAAGATGACATTAGCCAACGTATGCAAGGGCGACAGTAGAGCTCACGTCATGTCGCCATTAAGTTTTTTGCTTTTTTTTTTCATAATAATGCCAAACTCCGAAGGCGTCCCATCAGCCTCTGTGGAGACGTTTTGAGATCGATGGTCAAGCTTTAACACACTTGAGGTTGACAAGAACATAAGTTTCTCAGAGAAACACTGTCCCAGAAAGTTGAACAATTTCAGCAAAAAGTCATGATTCCACTGGTAAGGCAAGTGATGACTAAAGAGGCTTTCCTGAATGCACCAATTTGGAAAAAACTATTGAGAACTCCAAACATGGTTCAGAATACATACCTGGGAAAAATGGACGCCAGAGATCAACCTTCTCAAAAAACTAATGCAAATATGATCATGAACAAAGTGATTGTAAACACCCAAGATTTGAGGCTCTCCTATCGTTTAGCCTCCCTCAGATTGCAAGCATTAAACAAAGCAGACTCCTTCCAGGTCCCTTCCTTCCTAAAGAATACTTATTACAGAGAGAATCTGCCCAATGTATCACGTTGTATATCAGCCAGGGACAGCTGATTTCAAGCCGTCTTTGAAAATATTGAGAGCCTACACAAAGGCTCCTCGAGAGATTCTTGGTATTATCTACAGATCAGGTTCTAAAACTCATAATACGGCACAGTTCAGGCTAATATATATGAAGAGGGTAGCATAAGAAAAGGTTTCAGGACATGCTCAGTGGATTGTAAAAGACCATATCATTTCGAGGCCCGTAAGTCTCGAAGAAGGGGCCATTTACTGACAAGGAATCAATGAATACTGAATTCTCTAAATGTCCTGTTGTCTAGAATGGACCCCATAGCAATAGCAGTCATCTGGCATATCAAGATCAATTAAAAAGCCTCAAAGAAATACACAGAGATCGATCAAAGTAGCTTCACAAAAAGAATTCCATGCATTCAAATAATAATATATAATCAGCGACTAATTAGTGATCATTATTATTAAGGTCAACAACTGCCCAGTACTACCTTTTGTTCTTCAACTTTTCAGATAAATGACGTGTACGTACATGTGTAGGAGCTAAAGTAATGTGACCTCTAGTTTCGATGTAAAAATGATACCAGTCTTGTATTGCAACAATAAGCATTTTAAGGTCAAAACTGAAAAACGCTCGATCAGATACCTATTTGGTGAAATTACAGTGATTTTTGCCTTATATACCACTTTTTGTTTTTCAATACCAATTACTCTAGTTTTAAACCAGAATGTCTCCTTCACTAGAAAGGGAACAAAGTTCAGCTGGTGTCCCCAAAAGGAGAAAGCCTTTCGTCAACATAAGCAGTGACACAAAAGCCTGCTAATGGTGAAGGCTGACACTGAGCTGGAAACCTGTGTCACCTCATGGGACCCTGTTTGATGACGAAAAGAAGTTATTCCTCAACAGGATACATCCTCCACTACCTTATGTCGAACAGGAAAGTATGATTGTCACTAGATGTGATGGGTGCCTCAGTGACAAACAGAGACAGTTATGACGACTATGTATCAGGGTTTGACAACAAGCTCAGAAACCCATTTTAGGATGCAAGCATACAGCTTACACAGGCTCAACAACCACAGAAGTACTTTGACAAAGGTGTTGAAAATTGCCAACATGCATCCAATGACTGGGATGCATTTATCTCAATACTTCCTTAATCCCTCTTTCCAACACTTCCCTTGACTAACATGTTTTTGCCGCCCACTACATACATAATATATACAATAGTTGAATATTTTTATTTTTTGCACTTCGCATTGTTGATTTCTCGACATTGGCCTGGCTCTCTTTTCTTGTAAATATTTTAGTCGCTTTTGTCTTATGTTGCATGTTTTTTTTTGTATTTATAATTTTGTGAAGTTTTACTCTGGTATTTGTCAGTGTATGTACTATAAGTAATTAATGAGTTGCTATTGTAATGTAATGTAACGTGAAATGAAAGACAGTAATAAAAAATTGAAATACAAAAAAAAAAAAGCAACTTGGTTTTCCTGTCAATCCTCAGGCAATGGTAGGCAAGGATGCAAAGTTTCACCGTAAATGGCAGGCTATGAGGTTCCAGAGTGCACAACTGAGGTTAATTATCACAAGTGATCCCAGAAGCCATTCAAAGGTTGCACAAGCTGTACCAGCACAAACAAGGTGAATCCACATGGGGACAGGAAAAACATAGCGAAGGATGTGGTACTGTTGCCAATTGAAGAGACCAAAGCTGAGGATACCACCCCACAAGCCGGACTAAACATAGGGCCCAACATTATGGCTTAGACGTTCCCCTCGTACCTGACGAAAATCTGGGACAAATACAGGAGAAAGTGGTTGAAACCACCCGCCAGCGCCCCATATCCCTATTACCAGTGGTATCTAAAGTCCTAGAACGTTTAATCCACAAGCAACTTGCCACTTATTTTCACAATCATAACTTGCTCTGTAAATCACAATCCGGTTTTAGAAGAATGCACTAATTGATCTTATTTTCACCAGTCACCAAGACAATATTCTCTGTTCTGGGGTGACACGTGGGTATAAGCGATCACAGTCTTGTTTACGCGTACCGTAAAATTTCAATCCCGCCTCTTTCTAAAGGAATCAATTTGATCAGCTATAGACAATTTAAACACTTCAACAGCAATAATTTCCGTAATGATGTTTCGACACAACCGTGGGACGATATCAAAGAACTGTACGACCCCAATGACACGTGGAAAACATAGGCACGTTCGACGTGCATGAGCTATTTTGAATGCTTCAGTGTAACTATAATACTTCGGTGTAACCTTACCAAGAGTGATGAATCTACCTTTTTCATCCTAAATGTAGATTTGGTTTTTGTGCGAAATTGGGTATTGCGCTACATAAATGAAAACGCGAAACGCTCAGCTGAGTCGATCCTCAACCTATGTATTCACTTTCCTCTGTCTTTCCCAGTTACATCTGGTGCAAGTTAAACAAATTGCTAAAGTAAAATAAATTTCTACTCACCAAACGTTGATTACAAGGAAAACTCAAAGGTTTCCTAGGAGTTTCTTAAGCCAAAATGTGACACATCGAATACTGAATAGTTACGAAATACCAGGATTTTTATCATTGAGGTAGATGGTTGCGTCATCATAATTCACGAGGTTTTCACGTGCGATTCTACTCAGTGAAACAGTCTTTAACTCCGACAACTTATTTCTTCATGTTTTAAAAGCTATTGCTTCTTAAAAGGCAAGAGCCTTTTTAAGGCATTGTATACAAAACGAAACAGGTCTTCATACGTCCAAGTTACTATTTATCATTGTGAAAAGCCAATCTGCATGAGATGTACAGTCACCCAGCTGGCACGTGAAAGTGGTGGACTTTGTCCCCTTTCGTGGTTCGTACGTGAGGGAATTCGAGTTATCACACAATAAACTAGTAAACAGAATTATAAAAATAACTCTTGCACACAATTTGCACGTGAAGATGTTGGTCTTTGGCCCTTTTAAAATTACGTACGTTAAAAAAGGGCAAATTGTTTACTACAAAATTTTCTCAAGCGATTTTAAGAAATCACCTCAGCTTCATTACAACATCTGCAATTAAATTATGTTTCATGCAACGTCAAGGTTGATAACCTAACATTTATTAACATTTGTGAGACAGTCTTTAACTCCGACAACTTATTTCTTCATGTTTTAAAAGCTATTGCTTCTTAAAAGACAAGAACCTTTTTTAGGGCATTGGTTACTAAACGAAACAGGTCTTAATACGTTCAAGTCACTATTACTATTGTGAAAAGCCAATCTGCACGAGATGTACAGTCACACAGCTGGCACGTGAAAGTGTTGGACTTTGCCCCCTTCTGTGGTTCGTACGTGAGCGAATTCGAGTTATCACACAGTAATCGAGTAAACAGAATTATAAAAATAACTCATGCACACGATTTGCATGTGAAGATGTTGGTCTTTGGCCCTTTTACAATTCGTACTTAAAAAAAACGCAAATTGTTTACTACAAAATTTTCTCAAGCGATTTTAAGAAATCACCTCGGCCTTATTACAACATCTGCAATTAAATTATGTTTCATGCAACGTCAAGGTTGATAGCCTAACATTTATTAACTTCCAAGAAAATTATCAAACTGCCGAAATATATTTCTGCTCATATCATGTTACTCCACTCAATAAAGCAGTACCTAATTATTGTGTCAACTAGCTTCTTCCAATTTTATTCCCTAACGCTACTGTTTCTACTTAAGTTTATACGCATCTTTACTAAATAAAATACGTTTCAATAACTATAATGCTTAGTATGCAGGAAGGATGTATCATGTTGTTCACTTATTATTCCTTTTTGTTGTTGTTTTATGGCGTTCCGTTGCGGACAAAATTATACCGATGGTAAAAACATGTTGAAAACATAATACGTAAGTCGAAACTTGTAAAATACAGCGAATGCAATAAAAAACATGAGTCGAGATTTGCAAAATATATGTTCACGAACGAAAAAATACTAAGCAAATGTCATGACTACAAACACGATTCGAAATTTTGAAATTTGAGTCGAGACGAAAAAAAATTCGAGTCGACGTGAAAAAAAAAAACGCGAGTCGAGTAACAGAAACCGCTGACCAGTTAAGTTGTCAATCGATCTTTCAACGCAGGGCTTCCATCCAAAATGGGGTTTCGTTGGCTTCCAAATATAGCAGATTTTTTTTTCTCCTTGGCTAGATTAATAGAGGACTCGGAAAGGCAGCTAAATTCAGCATCGTATGACAGTTTAGAATTTTTAGTTCGGCGCCTTGACGAGTATGAAAGGACCTTGGCAACTTTAACGTCAAGATTTTGCGAGACTTACGGTTGTGTGCCTGCGCAACAAAATACTGTCGCAGACCTGTCATACCTATGCAATCGTGTGGCTTTTCTTCGCTCACATTTTCAACGTTCTCTCGATTGTGACGACAATAGTGTTGTGGTTAGTACACCTGGTAACATTCGTCCTTTACAAATCGAATATTGTAATAGACCTGGCCGACCTAGGCTTGCCATAACTCAAGGGCAACTAGAAGCTTTGCAGAGACAGCGGATTCCGCTGGAGTGACGTTGCCAGAATCCTGTGTGTATCTGCCCGAACTCTGCGCCGCAGAAGACATGAACTGGGGATGCTAGTCGAAGGTAGGCAATTTTCTGAACTGACAGATACCCAGCTAGATGATTTAATAAGGCAGGCATTACAAGTTACTCCAGCTGCAGGTCTGAGGATGGTACAAGGATACCTAAGACAGCGTGGCCTCGTTGTTCAAAGAATTCGCATTCTGCATGCCTTACGAAGGGTGGATCCAGTCACTTCTGCACTGAGGAATGCTTGGAGAATTATTCGAAGAGTTTACAATGTTCCCTCTCCCAATTCATTGTGGTAAGTACAAAAGAGGCTTGCAGAGCTACATTGTAATGGGGATCAGCCATTGCAAAGAAACAGAAAGACTAACAATACTGAGAGAAGAAACGGCGGCCCCACAGAGGCCAGAAGACTAAACGTGAAAAACCAAACACCAACGATCAGAGAAAATGGCGCCAAGTCCAAAAACCGCGCAAAACGGGTCCACAGAAACGTCATCATGATGACTCTCGTGAACAGAAAGAACACATACCTTTTAAAAAGCAGCGCCTTACTACAGAAGAGCTTGAAAACACCATTAAGGACAAGATACAAAAGTCCAAAGAATCCATCGGCAAACTGAAGAAACATATTGAGAACAATACATGTCCAAAAACTTTGCGTTATAACGCAAGGGCAAACATTGCCCCGGACGAAGAATTCAAACGAGACATAAGCTGGATTAGAAAAGACGCAGAACGAAAAGTTTTAGGCGCACTCGTTAAGTTTCACGACCGTAGAGTCGAAAGAAGCAAATCCAAACTTGTAAAACTAGAGCAGGAATCACGCAAAGAAAAGAGGAAAGACATGTCAGATAAGGTACCATCTAATATTCTAGAATGCAGTCACGAACAGAAACTAGAGAATATCCAGAAGAGAATAGACGAACTCAACAAAATGAAGTATGTCTTACAAAACGCTAAAGAGAATAAACAAAGTGAATCTTATCCCAGAGTGTTTTCTGAGAATGTAGATTATCCAAAAAGGGAAAGAGGAAAGAAAAAGCGGTCATTGTCAACCAAAAAACGCAATGAACGGAGGCGAAAAATAGCGTGTGATTTAGATAAGAACATAACAGAAGCCAGAAAGAAACATATCAAAAACCTCTCAGATTACAAAATGACACGCGATCAGATAAATGTTCTGTCAAGGGGTCTTAAATTTATCCCCACAGCGGTGACAAACACAGGTCACGTTAGAGCAGAACTATTAAAAGATTTCAACGCTTTCGCTAGACGAATGCGTCTACAGTATATCTTTCATGGAAAAGATAAAGAGCAACACCCCTTTCATGTAAAGTCAGACTGGGAGCCACCAGTTCAGCCATCAGTCGCACTAGAAACATACCTAGAAGAGGTTAAACTACAACTTGCTAATATAAATACAATCACGCCTAGAAACAATCTACCCAAGAGGGAACAACTTGCCATCAAACAACTGAAACAAAACCCGGACATCAACATTAAACGAGCAGATAAAGGCTCTTCTTTTGTTGTTCTCAACAAAGAAGACAAAATGAAAGAAGGTAAAATACAATTAGATGACAGAGAAAACTACAAACCCTTAGAAACACCAATGGTAGTAGAAACCTCTAAAAGGGTCAAGAAATTGATAGATAGCCATCGTCTTGTCATCTCGTCTATATGTCTCTCTTTGTGAAGCTTATCTCTCACGCTAAATCCACCGCGAATACCACAATTCTACACTCTCACAAAGATTCACAAACCAACACCAGTTGGAAGACCGATCATATCGGGCTGCGAAGGCCCGACGGAAAGAATCTCATCATTTGTTGATAGTCTCCTCCAAAAAATTGCTAAATCGCAAAAATCGTATCTTAAAGATACGACAGACTTTATCAACTTCATAGAGAAAACCAGGGTCGTAGAAAATGCTATTTTAGTCTCTATGGATGTAACTAGCCTATACACAAACATCCCACAGGAGGAAGGAATTACCATTATATGCAAAGCATACGAAACATTCTATCAAAACAAACCTCTAATACCGAGCCAATGCCTCGCAGATACGCTCAGACTAATCCTAAGGGAGAATTCTTTCCAATTTGTTGGAAAAAACTACCTCCAAGTACAAGGTACAGCTATGGGAACAAAAATGGCAGTTGCATTTGCTAACATTTTTATGTCTGCAATAGAGACAGAAATTATCAACAAAAGTCCGCACAAACCACTAGTGTGGAAGAGATTTATCGATGACATATTCTCATTGTGGAATGTAGACAAAGAAGAAATATACTCATTCATCGAACTAGCAAATAACCACCACCCGACCATAAAATTTACTGCTGAAGTTTCAGAAACAGAAACCGCCTTTCTGGATACATGTATTTACAAAGGAGAAAGATTTAAGAAGGAATCAATCCTAGATGTGCGTACACACTTCAAACCGACAGAAACTTTCCAATACACGTACTTCTCTTCATGTCACCCCCCAGGGGTTAAGAAAGGATTCATAAAAGGCGAGGCCTTAAGATTACTCAGAACAAACTCTTCTGAGAAAACGTTCGAAGAGAACGTAACTAATTTCAAGCAAAGACTCCGTACGAGGGGTTATAGAGATAAAGTGATAGATAAGCACCTATCAGAAGTCAAGCATCACGAAAGAATGTCGGCTTTGCAAAACAAAACAAAAACGCACAAGAAAATACTACCATTCGTGACAGAATATCGCCCCTCAGTACCGAATCTAAAAAAAATCATCATGCACAAATGGTATCTTATAGAAAACCAACCGTTGCTTAGAGAAATCTTTAAAGACCCTCCCATAATATCTTACAAAAGAGGAAAGTCACTACAAGATATACTCGTAAGAGCTAAACTATGAAGGTAAGGTCAAAGCAACAGCAACTGAGCCAAAGATAGACGTGAATAGCCTGTCAACATTCAACTGTTCAAATGGTCAGCGGTTTCTGTTACTCGACTCGCGGTTTTTTTTTCACGTCGACTCGAATTTTTTTTTGTCTCGACTCAAATTTCAAAATTTCGAATAGTGTTTGTAGTCATGACATTTGCTTAGTATTTTTTCGTTCGTGAACATATATTTTGCAAATCTCGACTCATGTTTTTTATTGCATTCGCTGTATTTTACAAGTTTCGACTTACGTATTATGTTTTCAACATGTTTTTACCATCGGTATAATTTTGTCCGCAACGGAACGCCATATTGTTTTGCCGGAACGAAAAAGGTCTGTTAAACTTTGTAAGCGAGAGAATAATATTTTTACAGCTTGTTTACAGGATTAACAATACTCGGTACAGCTTTCAAAAAAATAAACTGCTTTTCAAACTTCTAAAACCACATTTTATAGGCCGCATACTTTCGAATTAAAGTCCATATCTAAATATCAATTACTGCTTCACTGAAAGAGCTTTGAAAATATATGATCGTTTATACTCTACCTTGAAGCAGGTGAAACACAACTCATAAATACGTGCGTGGTACCGTTCGCGATAGCCGAATTCGGTCAGAAATGTCTTGAAGTAGCATCCACGCTAAAATATGAACCCTTAAACAGCTGCATCACTGTACACAGCGTGAAGATATTTAATATAATGTTTCAAAACACCTGTAGCCGTAATAAAAGACGAACAAATTGTAAAGAATCAAGATGGCGGTCTTAAAGTGCCCTTGTTCGACCTTTAGCAATGCGATTTTTAAGTAGATGCCAAGATCTCATTGGTTCCTTAGCATCAACTCATAGTACCTTCAACCTTATTGGCTCTTGCAACAAACATCCGAACATACAAAGTTACAAAGATACAAAGCCACAAAGATACATACGCTCACACCACCGACACATGAGCTATTTTTTCAAAATAGCTCAAAAATGGAAAGAATTATTCCTAAGTGTTTGTGATAAGCACGCCCCAGTGAAAACTAAACGCACTCATCCCACCAAGTCTCCTTGGATTACCACAAATTTGAAAAAACGAATGAATTTCAGAAACTGGCTAAAGAAAAAAGCTGTTAAAACTACGGATGCGTCCTTTTGGAATTGATTCCGGAAGGTCAAAAATAAAGTAATCAGGAAATCAAGGCTGCTAAAAAGGCCTATTATAATAATTCTTTTAATAATTATGCCGGTGATCAACGCAAGACCTGGAAGACCATCAATGAATTGATTTCCCGCAAATCTAATAAAACAATAATAAATGAAATACAAAATCAGGGACTAAAATCGAGCAATCAAGCAGAAGTTGCTGAATTGTTGAACACTTTCTTCATTGAGATTGGACCAAGGCTTAGTCAAAATGTTTCGAATGTTGATACCACCTACAGAGAGTTTCTTTGTGGAACTTCTAAGGAGTTTGTCTTCAACGAAATAACATCTGCTCATATTTATTCTCTCCTTTCAAAACTTTGTAAATCAAAGGCCACTGGATTAGATAGTATATCAGCTAAATTATTAAGGGAGTGCCCTGATCTAATTGCCAAGTCTCTTACTTTAATATTTAATCAATCACTGTTGACAGGAATTTTTCCCGATGAGTGGAAGTCGGCTAGGGTTATTCCATTGTATAAAAGTTCTGGTAAACGAAATGATCCCACCAATTATCGACCAATATCGGTGATCCCAGTTGTGGCCAAAGTATTTGAACGGGTAGTCTACGACCAGTTGTATCACTATCTTACTGAGAATCGTATTCTATCCCGTTACCAATCTGGTTTTCGTTCTTTACATTCTACTGTAACCGCATTACTCGAAGCTACCGATAGCTGGGCAGTGAACGTTGATCTTGGCCTTATCAATGCCGTTGTCTTCTTAGACCTAAAAAAGGCTTCCACACAGTTGATCATCATATCTTATTAACGAAATTACAATATTATGGATTATGCGGTTCCTGTCACGAATGGTTTACTTCATATTTAAACAATCGTACCCAAACTTGCCAAATTAATTGCTCAATGTCAAACCCAAAATTAGTTACATGTGGTGTTCCCCAGGGAACAATTCGTGGACCTTTATTGTTTTTACTGTATATTAATGACCTACCTAATTGCTGGCATTTTTCACAACCTAGAATGTATGCCGATGACACCAGCCTAACACCTATGCCAGCGCAGATTTAAACCTCATAAATGAATGCGTTAACGACGATTTAAACAAGGTGTATATATGGCTATCGGCTAACAAACTGACCCTTAACTTGACTAAAACTGAGTTTATGTTAGTTGGGTCGAGGCAGAAGCTATCAAAGCTTTCTGAAACTCCTTCTTTCATGATAAACGACCATCCCGTGATGCAAGTGTCAACGGCAAAATCTCTTGGAGTGCCTATTGACCAAAACTTAAGCGGGGAATGCCACATACAGAGTATTTGTAAAAAGATTGCTTCTGCTTTGGGTGCAATTAAAAGAATACGACATCTTATTCCTTTTAATGTATTAATTAATGTTTACGACAGTTTAATGCAACCACATTTTGATTACTGTAATGTCGTATGGAGCAACTGCGGCATTGGTCTTTCCGATAAGCTGCAGAGGCTCCAAAATTGTGCAGCCCGTATTCTAATGTCCGCCAATTCTGATTGTAATGTGGACGATTTGTTCCGGGCACTGGGTTGGCGTAAGCTTAAACACCAAAGACAAGTATTGACGGCTATTATGATGTATAAAACCGTACATGGGATGACTCCCGACTATCTAACATCTAAATTTGTATCTTGTGACGAAATAACTTCTTATCGATTGAGGAATACTGAAAATAAATTAGTCCTTCCACTGCCCCGTACCAATTATTTAAAGAAAAGTTTCTCCTATAGAGGAGCTAAGCTGTGGAACAGCCTATCCCATGATTTAAGATCTGCAGATTCTTTACATGATTTTAAACGCAAACTGTGTCGCAACAGTTTTGAATGAGATCATACATTAATACAGTTTTACACGGCATCCTTGAAAAGCAGCTTTTGTTTGTAAATAGCTAGGTAGTTAAAATTTTATGAATATATTTTATTCCTAATCTCCCAGCAAAGTCCATATCTTGCGAAACTACTTTTAAATACCTAGGCGTGGTGTTCGACAACTTTACGACTTGGAAGGCTCACGCGGACTATGTGTTTAAAAAGGTGGCATCAAGAGTTAGTATCCTGGGCCGTGTTAGAAGTTTTGTCACAAAAGAGGCAGCAACACTTGTTCACAACGCTTTAATTCTTCCATTATTTGGTTACTGTGACATTGCCTGGAGCAACCTTCTACAACAAGATATAGATCGACTACAGCAGAATAGATCTGCACGGATTATCACATGTTGCTTTCGCTCATCTGAAGCAATAGAGCAGCTGCACTGGCCGACTCTTTCCAGCAGACGCTCTTACCACAAGGCTAAACTCGTTTTTGTCTGTCTTCGCTCATTAGTTCCTAGTTACTTTTCATTATATTTTACTAGATTTTCGAACATTCACAATTATTCCACAAGGCAAAGTATGAGGCTATCCCTACCAAACGTTAAACAAAATTTTGCGAAAAGGACCTTTCTTATTATTGCCGCTAACATTTTTAACAATCTCCCTTTAAACATTGTGAAGAGTGAAAACATTCAAACGTTCTGCCGCCGAGCAAGACATTTCTTTTTATCCTAACTTTGATATTTTATTACTATTTTAGGCTTTAAATGTGATTTTGCATTATACTTTTAGGTTTTTTAATGTAGTTCTTAATTTCTAATATTGTATTTTTATTAGGCTTTTTAAACGTAATAGTTCATGAAAATTCTTGATGTAAATTAATTTTTTAAGATACAAGGCCCCTATGGAGACCAGCCTTAGAGCTGAATGGGCTACCCTGTGTAAATAAAGTTTTACTTTACTTTACCAGCAAGGACACTGGTGTGACAAAAGCAGCAGTTCCAATAATAAACGTAGAGAAGAGCAATACTCTGTTGAACATTGGTGTTGAACAGAAGCTGAACTAGCTACTGAACTGTGACATTCTGTTTTCTTATTACTTTCTTGGCATTCGCAGTTTCATTAATTTGTTACAGCACATGTAAACTCCCACTTTTTTGTGGGAAGATAGTGCAGGGGCTAGGGTCACATGACCTGTAGTTTTGGCGCAAAGATACCAGGCTTGCAGGTGTATTTTGTAACAGTTAATTTGATTATTAAAAAGCATTTGGGAGTGTCTTTCATTTGCCAGTTTCTCTACATATGTATGAAGGTATTCTCCACCACAACCAGTCATCAACCCAAAGCGCCTAGGCAACTCACAGTCCCAAGAGGCATTATCATCATCTTTGTCATTTTCACTCTCCTTTTTAAACTGTAATATTAGAAGCTTGCAGGCCAGTTTTGATAACCTGGTTAATATGCTATCAGAATTGTACTTTCCTATATCTGTAGTGGGAGTAACTGAGACAAAGCTAAAGAATGACCGAGAAATTTTGCTCAATATTAACATCACAGGCTACAGCTTCTTGTCCCAACCAAGCTATACCAATGAGGAGGTGTTGGCTTCTACATAAAGAATAATCTTGGATACATTCATAGGTCGGATATCTCAGCCCAAGTTCAAAATGATTATGAATCACTATGGATCGAAATTTAAAATGATACATGGCACAACACCATTTGTGGGGTTTTCTGTAGGCACCCCCTTGGTAATCTGGATAACTTCCAAAATCACCTTAACATGATAATTGATAAGATTCATTGTGAACAGAAATATTGTGTTTTGTTAGGAGATTTCAACTTAGATCTCCTTAAATTTGAATCACATCTTAGTACAGAAAATTTCCTAAATACTTTGGGCTCATATTGCTTTCAACCTCAAATTCTGCAGCCAACAAGAATAACAGATCACTCAGCAACTCTCATCGACAATATTTTCTTTAATTCTCTTGAGCACTTTTCCATCAATGGAAATTTATGTTATGACTTATCTGACCATCTACCAAATTTTCTACCAGCAAACATCAAGGTTTTTCAACAGAATTATTCAAACTTTGATAAGCAAGCCCCAGTTACTCACATTCAATCAACAAACTGGGATGTCTTACTTCGAGATGTTTACGAACCAAGAAGCATGTTTGATAGTTTCTATAATAAAATATCTGAGGTCATTGATTCACATATACTAATTATCTAGCCAAGAATTAAAAAGTAGACCCAAACCATGGACAACTTCTGGAATCAGGACCTCTATTAGAATAAAGAATGGTTTATTTAAGAAATTCCCAAAGACTAAATCTACCTACTACCACGCTACATTTAAATTTTACAGGAACAAATTTAATCACTTAAGAAGTTATTACAACAATTTCTTTTCAATTCACGTAAATAATGGGACACGAATCTGGCAAGGAATTAAATTGTTCAAATTAACCCACAGGTAAATCAACCAATAAGCAAAATAGTCTGGGAAAATTGTGAAATAACTGATCCCAAAGCAATAGCTAATACATTCAATAATTATTTTGCCAACATAGGTGGTAATCTTGCAAGTTCCATTCCCAGTGCTACAAAAACTGCTAGTGAGTTTGTGCCGTATATGTGATAGTTTGTTTCTGTGCACAGTCACTGCAGATGAAATTCAATTAGAAATAGCTCAACTTCAAACTGGTAAAGCGGTGGGGCCTTCTAGCTTTCCTATTTCAATTCTAAAAATCTTTAAGTCTGAATTAGCCAGTCCTTTACAGGTAATATTTAATACATCTTTTCTTACTGGAATTGTCCCAGATAAATTCAAGTTGGCTAAAGTAATGCCAGTCTTTAAGAAGGGTTCTCAGACAAACCTTAGTAATTACAGGCCTATTTCTCTTTTATCAGTATTTAACAAGTTGCTAGAAAAACTCATGTTCAATTGGTCGGCAAACTTCTCAGAAAAAAGGCACCTAATCTGTAACAAGCAATTTGGTTTCCATTCACACCATTTAACTGATCATGCAGTACTCGGTATTATCGACCAGGTGCAAAAAGCTATTGAAGATCGTGATCACTCTTGTGGAATATTCCTAGATTTCAGCAAAGCATTTGATACTGTTAATCACATTTTACTTTCAAAGCTTGAATTCTATGGTCTCAGACGTGTTGTTTAAGACTGGTTTACCTCATATATGAGAAAGAGAATGCAAACGGTGTCACTTGGCTCTGCAAATTCTGATATACAAACTGTCTGCTGTGGGGTACCTCAAGGATCAGTAGTATAGCCTCTTCTTTTCTTAATTTACATTAATGACTTACACAATTGCTCAGAACTACTGGATTTTCACCTTTTTGCAAATGATGCAAATTTATTCTTTAAGCATAAGGACATTAACATTAGTCAGAAGAGCCACATTAACTATACTGCCAAAAAAAACAGAAGAAGTATAGGCATTCTCTCTAAGCTTCGCTATTTCCTGAACACAAAAACCTCACTTAGCTTGTATTATACCTTAGTACAGCCGTTCTTTAATTACTGTGTAATTGGTTGGGGTAATGCATATCAGTCAACTTTGCAACCTTTTAATAATTTGCAAAACAAAGCTATAAGAATAATCACCTTCTCCAGTTTCACCAAACACTCAAGTCCTTTATTTAAAGACCTGAATATTGCAAAGCTGTCTGATATCATTACCCTTCAACTTTCGGTGCTTACGTTATGAGTTCCATAACCAACTTTTACCTTCTGTTTTTGATGCTTTTTTTAATCCTGTTAGGAACATACATGGTTATAACACTAGGTTATCTGGCAGGCTGACTTATGCTATCCCAAAAGCCAGAACAAATTATGGACTTTAAACATAAGGTTCCAGGGTGTTAAAGTTTGGAATGATATAAGTGATGACATCAAGATCCTTCCCCTCAAACGTTTTAACAATAAGCTAAAGTCACTTCTTATTGATAAATATTAATTGCAAATTTAACATCAATATATTTTTTCTGGCTTTCCGTTGCTTAATACTGGCACACTTAGTTTTTTTGTTTGCTGTCTGAATTTTCTCTTTTATTAACAAGTTTTTTTTTCTGTGTAGCTGTGTGTCGTGTGTACCTGACCCTTAACAAATTCATTTATTGATAACTTAAATAAGGCAGCCCAATCTCTTTAGCCCTCAATGTTTATTATGGCAGCCTGTACTCTCTCTATTTTTAATAGTAGTTTATATATATATACATTTTTTTACCCTGCCAAAAAAATCAGCAAAAGTTGTCTGTAAGGGACCAGACATGTTTGCTGAGAACCATGGCAAAAGAAGGGCGACACAACATTTGATGTTACTATGGGCAGCTATGATGGCACTGAGACAAGTGAGCTAGTAGGAAGTTTCTTGCTCTCACAATTACAAAACCTTGACGTCAACATAGGGCTCTACAGAGACGACGGCTAGCCATTTTTAATACCACACCGAGAGACACAGAAAACATCAAGAAGGAAATATGCGGTGTCTTTAACCAAAATGGGCTACGTATCACAATTGAAGCCAATAAACAGATCATTAACTTCCTAGACGTCACCTTTAACCTTGACAACAGCACCTACCAGCCCTTTACCCACCGATCACCACAAAGAACATACCTGTCGGTATCAACAGACGGCTGTCATCCCTTTCATTGGACAAACCATCATTCGACCAAGTCACCCCCCCATATTAAAAAGCACTCGACGAAAGCGGATACCACTACACTCAAAACTACAAACCCACTGCAACTGCTAAACGGAGAAACAGACAACGCAACAACATCCCCTGGTACAAACCCACATTCAGCAAACGTCAACACCAACATCGGTCACAGATTCCTCACCCTAGTAGACAAACACTTCCCTAAAGAGAACAAACTCAGAAAAATCTTCAACCGCAATACCATCAAGATCAGCTACAGTTGCATGAATAACACTAAAGAAATTGTTGACAACCACAACAAGCGTATCCTGAATTCATCCAAACACACAGATAAATCCACAGATAACTCTGTTCACAACAAATCATGCAACTGCCGACAAAAGAACACATGCCCTCTTAATGGAAACTGCCTTCAATTATCAGTTATCTACCAAGAAACAATCAAACGTAACGACAATAACACTTCTGAAACATACATTGGACTCACAGAAAACACCCTCAAAACAAGATACAGAAACCACATGGCGTCATTCCATCACACAAAACACAGGAACTCTACGGAACTCAGCAAACATTTCTGGTCCCTTACAGACAACGACATTGACTATTCTATTTCATGGCGTATCATTTCATCTAGCTCATCCTACAACAGTTCAAGTAAAAGATGTAACCTTTGCCTCAAAGAGAAATTTTTAATTATCTGTCATCCCGATCTACCATCACTTAACAAACATAACAAACTTGTATCTTCTTGCCGCCACAGAAACAAAGAGTTGCTACATAAGAACTAAACAGTTAAATTTAAATTTTCCCCAACAATGTAATCTCAAAGTATATAGTTGATGGTTATGAATGTTATTATCATTAAAATCCCCTGAAGAGTAAGCGATCACAAAACAGGCTTGTCAGGATGAACTCTATTTTAATACACAAACCCTCTTTTGTGGAAAGCCCATGAGAGAATTGCTTGCGGTTAACTGCCACAGTTCACTTACGCCAAGTTCATTGGTATCACCACCCACAACAGTGGTTAGTCCATGGGGTGATCAAAAACATAGTTGACTCATGAATAAGCTATTGTAAAAAGCGCAATGTTCTGTATTTTGGTGAGACTGGTAGTAAATAACACGTACCATTAGTAAATTTAAAGCAGTAAGGCAATAAAGCACATGCGAAACATACTGCTGTCTGTACAGCACTGCAGTCACACTTGCAGTTATCACTGGTTGGTGTGTCAGACTTCTCAAATAGGAAAACTAAACAGCTGACAACCTTCTTACTCCCTCTATTTTGTATACTGAGACTGCTGTTAAAAACACGAATAATGCAACTTTCTCTTCACCCATTGCCTTTCATTGTTTGTTTTTCTTGTTCTTACCTGATGTTGGTGGTGAAGGTGTTGGATTAACAACAACAGCAACTTTATTTGTACTCCACATTGAATTATGTATAGGAAGACTGTGTTTCAATTTTTCCGTAACAGAGTGCTCGATACGTTAAAGTAGAGCGTGATATGTATTGGAAATAGGAAAAAAAATACACTGTATATTGTATTTAACATCCCTAAAATCGAGAGGGCTAGTTTGGGAAAAGTATTCCATGTTGCACAAAAATAAAAACAGATCATACGGCAGTCATCCTGTCAGCAGCAACAAAACTAGCCTCTTGCCAAAAGATTTGCATTGAAAGAAGCACCATATGGAAGGGTCCCCTATTGAGGCCCTGTTAGACATGATGGCAAAACTTGGGGTGACTATGGGCATCCAAAGGGGATGTCATTACAGAAGGTTTCTGAAGTAAACTGCTGTGTTCTTTTGAGGAGAGGACAAAGAACACTCACTGTAACTGACACAGTCAGGCAACATGCTTGGTCAACAGTTTAACGCATTTCTGTTGAAAGTGCAGACTTATTTGAAGTCAAGGCTTGGAAATCTTCAGTTCAGAATCTTCAAACCAAGATAAATGCCTCAGAAGCTCGCAGCCTATGGTCATGATAAATCTCATTCCCTCATTCAGTACCGTGGACACCTTACTGATAAAGAGAGGGAAAGCATCCTTAGAAATAAGTGAACAATTTACGGGTAAAGCGTTCTATTGACATTTTAGCTCTTACTGAAACGTGGGTAGATGAAACATGGAATGATGTTGAACTCGCTGTTCCTGGTTACAATCTTTTTCGTAAGGACCAAAAAGTCTAACAGTCAGTCAAGGTCCTGTGCTGGCGGTAAAGTTATTATTTATGCATGTGACGGTCCATAGGGGAAATGAGGACATGATTTGGAATCAGATGAATTAGAACAAATATGTCTCAAACTTAACCAACGTCAATGCGCTCCCTTCTTTCTGTCTTGTTTGTATCATCCACCAAATACCAGTGCTGCTTTTTTTGAAGACTTTATGCACTTAGTTGAGTGCATTTCTGCTGAAGCTAAAGAAACACATTTTGTTGAGGGTTTTAATATTGATCTGCTGCTGCAAAACGACTCCAACTCCAGATGCTTGAAACATTTGATGGAAAGTTTTAGTCTACATCAGATGATTGATAAACCAACACTTGTTGCCGCATAATCAAGGACCCTTCTTGATCACCATTATTGTACACATCCTGAATATGTTCTTTATACTCCAACAGTCTTGGTGCGCAAACAGAATGCAAATTGGAGATGCATAAAAGGTGGCAAACACGTCTGGATTTCTTTTTCTTAAAAAAAGTTAACACCAATGTTCTTATCGTGTCTTAAATGGAATAACCTGGAGCATACTCGACAAATACAGTAATGACCCAGCTGAAATGCTTAACACCGGGATTAAACTTGTACCTAGACACTTAGACACACACGCACCAGTGAAACAGAAACAGGTCAAAGTGACTGAAGACGTTCTTGGAAGCTACAGAGTCAATACCACCTTCAAGGTGTACCTTTTAACTTGTTTTTTCTTGGATAACTACATTTAACAATTTGTATATGGTTATACTAAGCATTTTCTCTAGTTTTGTATGAACAAGGCTAACTGAAATGTCTGAACCGTAATAGTTATAAGGTTTTTTTGTCCACACATTGGTTCCAGTTACATGAAAGAGAACTGTTCCAATTCACTTGATTTCTACTGAACTAAAACTTTCATGGAAAATGTATTTTTCGTTCCTACAAATAATGCAATAGTGACATGCCACGAATGTAATGACAGCCAATTTTCACCATTTTTTACTACCAGTTTACATTCACGAATGTCAATAAATCATTGAAACTATAGTACAAAAGGTTTACATACAAATGTTTTCCAAGAGACCATCCTCTTCACAAGATCTTCAACAGACACGTCAACCTCAGCAGCAGAACCCTGGGCAAAAAGAAAAACCGTTTTGCAAGTGATGTGGGCTGTTAAAATTTTAAAATGACAACTCCAACCAGGCATTTAACATCGCATGAATACCAAGATGCCGCCACGAAAGCTCATTTATGGCAGACCATCACCAAGGTTCCTGAAAGAGCTGTCAGTGAGCAGAGACAAGAAATCATCACTGCCATGAAAACTGTTTACTGGCCTGCCAAAGAGGAAATTGCTACCAATAAGTACTCATCTTTGCTTACCCTTCTAGAAGATGTTGGAGTACAGTCCATGAAGATGAAAGCAGGAGAAAACGCAACTTACAGATCTTACCACACCGCGGAAGGCATGCAAGAGAGCATTCGTACAGTTCTTCATTAAGGAGTAGACAAGCTCATTAAGGAAAGTCCCTTTGTCTCTGTTTTGATCAATGAGTCTACGGACATCAGTACAACAGAAAATCTCATAGTTTATGTCAAGTTAGTCAATGATTTTAAGCCAGAAAGTCATTTTTTGTTCAACATTAAGATCCCAAATGGTCGAGCAGATACAGTGACTCAAACTGAAATAAACCACTTGGCTGCAGGAGGTGTGGAGACAAAAAAACGGTTGGTTTTGGCAGTGATGGTGCAGCCGTGATCACTGGCAAGACAAATGGTGTTGCAGTAAGACTGAAGAAAGTGAATCCATTTCTTATCAGCATTCACTGCATGGCCCACAGGCTGGCGTTATGCACCAGCTAGGCTGCAAATGGAATTGAATTTGTTTCTAACTTCAAGGAAACTTTGACAGCATTGTACCGTTACTTCAACAAATCAGCTGGGGGAATTTTGAGCAATTTTTCAGCAGCTGCAACCTAAGCTTGAAGTTTTTGAAATTCGATGGTTTGTCATCTGTGGAGCTCTAGAAACTCTTCAACGCACTTGGTCCTCACTTGTTGTTTCTTTTTTTTGTTAAGTGAAAGTGAATAGACCTTTACTTCTGACAGAAGATTATTAGATACATTTTGTATTGACTAATATTATTCACCGAAGAAAGTCATTTTCACTACAAAATGATAGATGCATAGTCAAAGCTGTCATGATCCTGTGCCAAGATTAAGAACCAACGAACATATTTTTCATTTACATAAGAAGAGTTGCTTGATTCCACATTTTTTTGAGACGTCATATTTTTATCTTTCATCTGTGCATTGTGTTTGAAGCAACAAGAAACACATAAAAGACAAGGGCATTTATTTAATTATTACGGAATAAAATATTACGTTGCATGTCCTGTAACGATTGGCAAAATTGGCCCCCAGTCCCGTTGTTCTTGTTTGTCCCCTTCCAAAGGCCTTGAAGGGACAAATTGGACCTAGAGCTGACTAGAACCCTGTATTATCATCTGTAGCCATAATAAGATACCATGAAGAAGAATGAAAATAGCGTAGATGCAGTCAAAGGGGTTTGTTTACATGGCTTTTAACTGATCTTTTGCTGAGAATGAAGAATAAAAGACACAAGCTTTCGATTGTCTCGGTCTTCAAAATTTGTACTCGTTGGCATTCATCTTTAATTTTAGAACAAATGTCAAACAAACTTATGGTTTTTGCACTCATCTGGCAAAAGTTTCCTTTTGAAATCAAACAGAGGTGCAGTCCAGTAAATCAAGTGAGTATCATTGAATAATCTATTTAAAATTTGTTTATCTGAGCCAGTGCCCTTTTGTTGGCGAATATGATAGATTATCGATGTTTCGTGCAAAATGTCAGACTCTATCACTTGAACTTGCATCAAGTAACCTCCTCTGTAAAGGAAATGTGGCTGGAAGGAAACGTTCAGACCTCTTTGGTTGCAGGACCTCTGGAAGTTTTTGCTTAAGCAGGAAAGAACAGAAGTGACTTCCAGTTGCAGATGATGCAAACAAAAAGGGAAAAAAAAGAATCCCGACAAGTTTTAGAACAAATGAATGCTGAATCCACCCTACTGGTCCACTTGCTTTGTGTTCTCTACAAGAAGCACAATATAAAGAATGCCCCGAATGAGTCGAAGACATTCATCGAAAGTCCTTTCAAAAGGCTAAAGGAAGATTCCCTGAAGCTTTGATTGTGCATTCCTCAGCAATACAGGCAGACCTTTTACAACAGATGTCTGTTTTTCATCATAACTACGTAGAAAAAAAATAAAGTTTAAACCAAAGTTTTTCAGAATGTATTCGCCACTGCTTCCTTTCTTATGAAAGAATTCATTGCTAATCGAAAACTAATCCCCCTAAGTAGTTTTTTGGAAAAGGTTTCAGGAATTTCCCAACTGAAACACTTCTTCCATCATTCCCAAGGCTCTGTTAGAGAAATCTACTTGACCCTTGGTGACAACGTAAAGCAAACCCTTTCAAAGGAGGCCAGGAAAGCCAACAGCTCTGGTATGCTGATGGATGAGGTTGCAGATACAGCAGTGTCCTCCCAGCAGATCTCATTTATCCAGTTTTGAGACCTAGAAAACGTATCCGTTAGAAAAAAGTTCCTACCTTCTCAGAATGTGCTAAAAGACCTTTTAAGTTGCAACTCACAAGCCATTACAGGGCTAGTATAAGTAGACTGATGGGCCTGTCCACTGATGGGGCAAGTGTAATGGTAGGAAAGACAAATGGAGTTGCTGCAAAGCTGAGGCAAAGGAACAGTAAGCTGCTAATATGTACTGTGTCTGCCACCGATTAACACTAGCATGCACAGACACCTGCCAGGAGTTCAACACTCTCTTAGATATCTTGGACCCTTTTTATGGAACAAGCTAGATAAAAACGTCACTGAAACGAACAGCCTATCTAGGTTTAAGTTTCATATTAGATGTAAGGATCTTACTGAACTGATAAATGGCAACAATTGCTCCGCGTGCATAATTTGTACCTCTTAAGTTGTGCCCATGCTCCTACAATTGTTTTGATTATTTTAGCATATTGTAAATGTATATATAATATATATAGGATTATACTATAGCTTTTTTTATAGCTTTTTATTTCTTATCTTTTATTTATCATATTATTCATTATTTATGTTATCTTTTTGTTGTGTCCTCATTTAGCGTCCGCTAAATACATTGACACATGAATAAAGTTCATCATCATCATCATCAAAAGTACATCAAGGAAGTAGAAGTTCACAATTCCCCCAAGAAAATGGCTTGTTTCCTCAAGTGCCAAATTGAGCTGAAAGAGGCAATCTTAACTGAGAAAACAATGAAGCTATTAGCCAAAAGCTTGAAGAAGGCATGCCAGACACGATAGCTCAGTTTTGATGCTTCTGTCACTGCAGCCATGCAGAGTTATGAAGCTACCCTTCTGTCCCCTCAAGAGATTGATGATGCCACAGCTATTGGCTTATAAAGCAAACTCAAGCAGGTAAAATTTATTAGGGCCCTTTTATTCTCAATGCCATCCTGCCAGTTCTTGCATCTTTATCACGACAGTTTCAAGATGGTAATTTTCACTTTTCCATGATACGAACTGCTGTTAATAGAGCCATCTTTTCCCTGGAGGCCTTGGAGGAAACAAATGAGCCCTTGGAGAAACTGAAGGCAGGCATCGACTCCTTTACAGAAATTTCAGATGAGGTAAAGTGAGGAAAGGATACTGGAATGCAGTTGGAAACCCTTCAGACCAATTATATCAGCTCTGATATCCAGATGATACAAATTTATTTTATTCCAATCGTAGTCTAGCTGAACTAGAGGATGCTATTAATAATAATCTCAAAATTTGTCTCTAACTGACTTATGGCAAATTAGCTCTCATTAACTGTTGACAAGACAAATTTCATTATTTTTCAGCCCCCTCAAAAGTCAACAAGTCACGTGGGCAAATTGTTAATTGCCAATAGGGAGATTAAACAAGAAAAATTTATTAAATATTTAGGTCTACATAATGACCTGCATCTCAGTTAGAAGTACCACATTTTGCATACTTCCAAAAACATTAAGCACTGTATTGGAATACTTTCTAAAATTACATACGTTATTAGCCAACAAGTCCTTGTTCAGTGGTCATACTACACACTTATTTATCCTTTTTTGGCTTATAGTTTAATTACCTGGGGAAATACAAATCCAACTTCTCTACGGCCTCTTATTAATTTACAAAAAAACAAGCAATTGGAATAATAGCCTTTTCTGATTTTAATTCTCATTCTAGTCCTCTTTTTTGCAAGTTGGGGCTACTTAAATTAGGGGATTTAATATATTTAGACAGTGGTCTTTTTATACATGATCACTATTCAAATAGACTGTCAAGGACTTTGAATACTTTTTTTAAAAACATTGATAAAGTACGTCAGTATGCAACCAGACTGGCCTCTAGGAAGTCTCATTATTTACTGAAAGCTAGGACAAATTATAGGAAATTTAATATCCATTCCAGTGGGGCTAAACTCCTGAATGCTACTAAAAAAGATCTACAATCAGCAAGTCCTTAAAAGAATCTGTCATCTCGAAATATTGATTGGTGTACTTTATATGCAGCTAATTGTGTGTGCAGCCATTGTTTTGCTTCTTTGTTTATTCCTTTGTGTATTTGTTGATTTATTACAGCTTAAACACTTTTTCTTTGTGCTTTTTTTTGTGTGCATTTGTTTATTTATAACAACTTCAATGTCTAGTTACCTTTCCACACGGCTCAGCCACTCAGTGCAGTTAGCTTTTGCTATTTTTAAGTGGCTGTGCTCTTTCTTTCACAATTATTTCCTTTTAATTACTCTACACCTTTGAATCAAGAGCAGAATAAAGATTGTTGTTGTTCCAACATAAAAGATTGCCTTGGAAGTTCTCCAAAAGTCACTAAAGCCTATGCCATCTTTGACCCTCTTTGCTTCCTTCAAGGGACAATGACAGCTTTAAAGAATATGGTGATGCTGAAGTAAGGATTATTGCTGATCATTTTTTTCCAGGGAATGAATACAAGAAAAGAAAATTGCTACGCCAGTGGTACCAAGTTAAGTATTTTCTTTCTGGAAAGAAGTTCCACGGGCCAGCTGAAAGTCATAGCCGTACCTTCTTCATGTTGGTCATGCTAAAAAACCAAGGAATTTTCCATCCCTAAATCTTTGAACAAATACTATTTGTGGCTGAAGTTGGACTTTCCTCACCCTGCAGTAATGCCTGGCCAGAGAGAGGAGGTAGTGTCATTAACATTTCAAAGACAAAGTTTAGCAACCGGCTGAATATCAAGATGCTGGACTCCATCATGCAAGTCTCCATTAATGCTCCAGAAAGTAACCAGTGCAGAGACATTGTCAACTCTGCCATAGATAACTGGCCAAAACAGAAGCCAAGGAAAAAGGTCAAGAAAGCAACTGTCAGAACTCAGTCTGAAAATGCTTGGAAGGGGTTGAGAAGGAACCTCAGGGAGGTAAACTGTTCTTGGAAGGTGATGCTGAAGGAGAAGAAGAAGAAGAAGCAGGCCCTGCCACTCCAGATCAGAGCGTTAGCACAGATTTGGAAGCTTCTGCAGAAGAAGAAGCAGCAGTTGTTGCCTCTACAACTGGTCTTCCAGACCCTGATTATGATTCAGCAACTGAAAGTGACTGTGAAAGTGATCATGATTATCAGTAGCTTTCATTAAATGTTTCATAAATCTTATTTTAGCATTACTGAATTGGTTTGTATTGATATTAATTGTGAATTTTGTAGTAATTTGAATCACGTTTTGATATGAATATGATAAACTACTTGATTGAAGATAAGTACCCATACACAATCCAATCTATAATAGTGAATTTAGTCACACAGTGTCTCTCAATAGACTTAAGAAATAATCTGTTATTGTTACAGATAATCCTACTGTGAAATAGTAATCATTATTATTGAAAACAAAAATATATCAACCTAACATCTACTAGGGCGTAGCATCTTAGAGTATAATAAAATGGAAAATAAAAAAAACTGATTGATCACTGGCTCAAAAACAGATACTTCTATTGCTAACATTGCTCTCAGGAGAGCCAGTTTCAGCTAGTGCGAAACCAATGCAGTTGTTTAATGCTGCTTCCTTCAATGAGACAGCACTAGCCTAAGTCTGAAGCTGGCTGGCTGAAGAATGGTTCAGCTCCGCTGTAATATCCCGTGACTGTGGGTGTTATAAATATAATCTAGCATTGTGTTGGTTATCATGCTGAGGACAGTAACTAGTTTTCCAAAGCACAGAATCATATAAAAGAACAAACACATAATTGCCAGCTGTTGTAGTAACCTGCAATACCCTTCTTTGCCATCAGTAACTGAATGCTGTGGGCAAACAAACTCATCTGATAACTGTAAGGCAACATCAAGAGCAGGAAGGTTGCAACTCTGAACTTGAAATTCCACTAAACACTCTGAATCATCCATCTCATCAAGGCCGAATCAGCTGAAGCCATCAAGATCAAGATTTTTGGAGGTGTTCAAATCGTAGAGTAAAAGAAATTCATCCTAACCTATGATATCTTCCAAGCATGCTACAGCTAAGAAGTCTGATTTCTTGAAAGGTTGCCATAAGTTTTTTTAAAACTGAGTCAAACGCCTATTAAATAGACGTCTAACTGAGCTACAAAAACAAAAAAATCAATACAAATTGGCAGCCGTATCTGCTACACAGCTTAAATTTCTAACTTCGCACCAAATGGTGGAGGCCTCGAGACGACCTACTCCTTTGCGGCCCTCTCTGCCACTTCCCAAGCACCTCCAGCAGTTGCTCAAGGTCCCAAATATCCGTACTAAGGTAACTTTTTTGGTGAAAAAGTAAAATGAAGCTTTCCAGGGTGTATTTTTTTAGAACATGCACAAAAGCTTTAAGTTAAATCTCATATTCATACTCACACTCGCTCCAAAATCTAAAGCCCTCCAATTTAAGGCATGTGTGAAAACAAGAAACACTCTGTATCAGTATATCTTTTTGGTAACAGGTTGGCGTGTCTCGCTCTCCAAGAAAGTAAAGACATGAAGAAATAACGGCATTTAAAGGCAATAAGGAGTGCAAAATGGTCAAGTTGGAAAGTCTGGAAAATCCCTCTGTGGTCCCAGTAATGATAAACTGCAGAAATGACAAGAACAATCTTATCAGCAGCAGCATACCACATGTCATTCAGGAAAATGCAACATTAATTTATTTTAGGTGTCCATGTAAGTCATGTCCACAATACTATAAAACTCTTTTACTTTCTATTGAGTGTGAAAAGGAAATAAGCAAATGGTACCCAATCATTCATCTCCTTTGTTATATTGATGCTGCAGCCCGGCAATTCACTGTGGCCCTACATGGTAACAACAAAAAATTTCAACAACTACGGTAACCACACACAAAGAACAAGTGAAAGTACTCAAGAGAAGTTGGCAAAGAATGTTGCAGATGGGAAATTGAACACCAAGCAGGCATTGTTTAAAATGGTCAAGGAAGGTACAGTGGTAAGTGGCACTGCCAGGACTAGTTCCCTTCCGCAAAATAACATGTAAGCCAGAAACCTTAAGCAAAAGTTAAGACCTAACAACCAGCTCAATAACAAATGGTGCTAACGTGGGAGCAATTGTGGACTCAGGCCTTGAGCACCACAAGTTTTGAGGCATAACAGAATCATTCCCTAAGCAGCCCATTGAAAAGGGCTTATAGAAGAAGAGTCACTCCAAAACGATCAAACATGGCTGCATAGAGTTACAACTAACAACAACAACAAATTTTATTGAAAATTGGAAAATAACTAATTACATTACTTTCCCACCCGCAAATAGCTTATGAACTAATCGAGGCGGGGGGAGCTGAAGACATATTACAAAACAAGAATTATATATAGATGGACTAAATAACAGTGAAGACACTACAATACAGTAAATAGAGTTTAAACTAACATAAAACAAGGCATGTACATAACGATTACGAAGAGAGGTTAACCTAAAGTATTAAATAACTTAATAAGACGGGAGACTTCGACATAATCATCTTCTGACCGCAAAAAATTTAGTAATAATTCCTTTATTTTTTTACGAAAGGACGAACGTTTAAGTATTTTAATCGAATACGGAATAGAGTTCCAAATTTGGGCACCGATTCTCGTGAAAAAGGCATACATTTTATCGGTTCTAGAGAACTTAACATAAAACGAGTCGCTAGAGACAGATCTTGTTCTGTAGTTATGAATCTGACTTGTTTTAACGAACTGATTGAGAATACTAACTGGTGCTGTCTGTCTGTTGATATCATACAATAAATAGCTACAATCTCTGAAAAATATGCTAGGCAGGGGAAGGCAATTTGATTTGAGAAAGAAGGGTACGGCGTGTTCCTTAGACTTACTGAAGTAAATGAGACGTAAGGCCCGTTTTTGTAGAGTTACGATCTTTCACTTCAAGGAGTGAAAATAATGATGGTGACGCCTGCAAGGAAAATGAGCCTAATCTCTTCTAAATAAAAGACAAGCTTGTAGAAATACAAATTGACATCATTCATCCATGATCTATTAAGAGAAGTCCCTGGTCTGTCTTAGTACCTTCGTGCTTCATGCTTAGTAACTTCAGCAAATAAACAATATCTAACTTTTGTCTTTATTGTTTGTGATATGAATAACTAGACAGAATCCTTTAGCTTCTAAGACAAGAACGACTTTGAGAACGAGATTTTCTCACAACTAAGCAGTGCACACATGAACCAGCATCATTTTGGGGGTAAACTGGAGAGCCGTTGTCTTTCTACTATGCTGTGGTAGCTCTTTCAATAAAAATAACAGTGCTAACTCTTACGGTGACAAAAGTACAATAAATTGAAGCTTTCCAGGGTGTTTGCTTTTTGAGAATACAAACATCTCGTCCTCAAATCTAGAGAACCTAACCTATCGCTGGAAGGTTTTAGGTGGCTACCTAGGCCAAGCAAGTAAGAGAAGAAAACACATCAGTCACAAAATGATTCCTAGCCGTTATATATACTTGACAACAGAAAGGAAATAAATTGCAGGCAGTTGTGAGGGATTGGATCACAACACTCACAGAATCTCATGAAACACTACAGCCATATTTCAAGGGTGGGATGCACAATAAAACAACTTTGAAGTCATTTCTTTGAGGAAGCAGGCTGTCCAGTTTGTTGTGGTGATGCAAGTAGAGCTTTCTCATGGACAAATTCCAGTAACGTTCTACACAAGGGTCCAAAGGAGACATGGAAAAAGTCATAGAATTTCAGTACCCAGCAGGTTAATATAGAAAAGTACGCTTCACAGCATATGATCTTTCGGTTTGTTTTCAGGTTCTTCTACTTTATGTATTGTTTTATGTAAGGAAAACTTTGGTAAAATCCTATGAACATGATCACATCCTCAGGGTATAAGAAATATTTATGCATTTCTGTAGGGCTGGCTTGCATTTTAGTCATGTTATATGCACTGTTCACAGCAAGTGGTTCCCAAAAAACTGGTTGGAGGAAATGTTTATCATGTATGTTATGCTAGCTAGCTAGCATATATAGGCTTCATAGGATCACTATATACTCATTAAAGTTATGGTTAACATATATTTGCTTGTGGCTCTCCTTTCTATGCCTGTAAAATTCAGTAAAAAAATCATTTCAAATTTACCACCTCATAAAGGAGAGCCAAAGGTATGGCGGGCTACTAGTGCCACTGCTTCACATTTTAAAATAATGCTGCAGTTTCTACATAAAAACTCATCTGCGCCGTGCACTGGTTCCTCTTTTCCATACAAGTGATAAGCCGATTTCTTTTAAATTGACCTCTCTCATAAAAATACACTTTCTTCGTAGAGATAAACCTCCGCTGTAGAAATACACCCCCGCCATAGAAATATGCCTCCACCGTGGAAATGTGCCTCCTCCGTAGAAATGAGCCTTTTGCACAGACACAAACTCTTTCTGTGGAAATAAAACAATTCTTGGAATAGCTGTATGTAGGAAAGGTCTTTACCCTTGGTTTTGTCTTAGAATCTGACTTAAAACATCTTTGTTTTCCCTTCACATAGGAGGACCAGTGACATTGCTGGAGGGTTCAACTGCAAAAACTACCAGTACAATTACAAAGTTGTCTTTTCATGAGTTCAAAAAGCTAAAAGAAGATCAGAGGACTAAAAAGATCGAAGCAAACAAAAAAGTGAAAGCGATCCGAGATGTAAAAATCCAAATCAGAGTTATGGAGGAGCTAGATGGTCATTTGAAGAGAATTAAGGGCAGGACTCTTCCACTGATGGTGCCCTCTAATGTCTCCGCAGAAGCACTCCTGAAAGCAGCTCAAGATAAACATTCCAGGCACTTCAAACAGTTTGATCAACCTCTGGACTATGTCCTTCTGTATCCAGACCAGACTATTGTCCACACCCTGCCTGGAAGTTCTGTTCTTTTCCCCCTTAACAAATATAAAGAAGAACTTGAAAAACCTTTTTCCAAATTGTGCTTTTGGCTGTGTAGTACCTCAGACATCCAAAGCTGTATTGATTTCCTGGAAGAAGAGTCTGAACAGAGCAGTGAGCCAGGGCCATCATACATTTCAGACACTGCCACCACAGCTTCAGAAGTGAAGGAAAGAGATGGCTCATTAAGAGCATCAAACTGCCAAATTAAGACAAGCCCGTCAACTAACAGAGCTGTAAGTAAGACTTCCTACCCCCCAAGAGGAAACAGCAATTATCCAACTTGCTTTAAGAGATTTCCCCTGGAAGAAATTGAAGCACATGCATACCTCTGTGTTGACCTCTGGGTTGACCCTGTTGGAGAGCTAGAAAGTGATGGAGAACAAGAATTCATAGGGACAGAAGAATTATCCTGTGATGAGCATGCCTCTGATGAGCGATGGAATTTTCCCACAAGTTAAAAGATGCAGTGAATAAGTTACAAGAAAATATTGATTTTTCTAAGAAATTAAAGCATCATTGTGAGAATGTCAAACAGAAACTCTCCAATACTGTCCTACAGGGCTCAAAATTAAAAAAATCCTTGGAGAAATATAGTTGCCATTTGCTGATTTTTAGTCACCAGTTGGTATAATGTAAATGACACAATTCATAGTATGGCGCAATGGATCAGATTTGATTGTTTTAAAACATCGCAGACAAAAGTTGGTGTAAATATAAATACCTCCAAGTCATTAATATAAATTTGGGGGTTAAACCAGATTAATTTGTGCAATTTGGCACATTTTTTGAGACAAAAGCAAAGCAAGATAAAATGAAATGTTTGTTTCAACTTTACTCTTTTAATTTAAATCTAAATCATAGAGAAATCTGATCACCAAAGTGGCAACTAAAACTAAATCAGAATTTTTCGTCACCAAGGAGAAAACGTAAGTCACTTTGATGGGCAACAGTAACGTTATTATTTTAATTGCAGCTAGCTATGTTTGTTCACTTCTATTTTAGTTTCCATCTCGTCCGAAACTAACGGCAATAAGGTTCTAAATACAGCTGTCAGTAAACCAGATATTGTAAGAAGAGTTTAATTATTTTGTTTTACCCCAAATATCCATACCCACCTAGCAAGTAAGTTGGAAATTCGAGTTTACTACTAGTAAAATGTTAATCAACTTATCAAAACATATTAGGACAAATGGAAAGAGTTAATTGTTTTATTGCTTTGTTTCTTAAAAATTCATACTTTCCTGGAACATTTTTGTTTAAATTGCCCCCTCAGAATTTCCATAATGTTTGACCTTCTATTCATGGCTGGTGGTTGTGTGGACAAAATAATATTATTACTGACATGTTGATCCATATAAAATTATTGCTGCTGTAGTAGTGTAGACAACTGAGGGGTAAACCATGGCCTACAAGCAGTCAAATCTATAATATTAAATAACTAATCTGTTCATGTTGTCCTTGAAATCCAAGCTTTTGCCGATCGATGAGGTGAAAGCTGGATTACAATTTTATTTTTTAACAGCAGTTTCATTTGAACAATATTTTTATTTTTAATATATAACCAACATACACACAAACATTGACCAATAAATAAAGTAAATATAGATAAAGTACAGGCACGTTATAGATGCCTGCAACCAGAAAAGTAGGGAGGTGGCAAGGAAGGAGGCTGGAGCCTCCAAAAACATCAATAACTCTGACAACAGTAAGCAATAAAAGGTCATTAAAACATATTCATCTGATATATTGAAAAACAGTATATTGAAAAACAGTTGTTCACACCTCCATTCAGGAATTCTTCCTTAAGTGAATTTGTCAAGGAATTTCTGGTGTGAGTGATAAATGTGGAAGTTGAAAGCTTTTCTTGCAGAAGGAAAAACAAATTGAAATATTGTTTCTGACTCTTATAGTTCTCAGTTTAAGAAAAGAACTTCGTTCATATTTGGGGCTAAAATGTTTTTGACAAAAAAAGGATGAAAATAAAGTTACCTTACAAATTAGGCAATAGAAAACAATTTCTGCGTTTGCATAGCCTGACATAAACATGAGAGGGGTTGGAAGAATTCAAGACAGTTGTGCAAGCCCTTGACTTCGTCTCGCGTTTCCATAACTGTCAAGAATTCTCCCAACCCCTAAGTGTTTATATACCAGGCTATGGAAACACAGGAAAAAAGTTTTCTATTGCTTTTATATACTAACTTTCCCTAGAAAAAACACTAAACCCTTTGTTATGGCACAGATTAAAAAATAAATTCTTACCAGACGCAGCACAGTCTTATACACGAAGTCTTGCATGCTTAACCAGTTTTTGTTTTGCAAAAGATCCGTTCCAAAATATGGAATTTTCTCACTTAAAATATCGGCTTAAGCGAAAACAAATTGACATAGCACCTTTGCAAAGTTTCAGCTGACAAGGGAATGGTTATATAAATAAAGTAAACTTGTTGAGTTTTCAAGTGGGACTTGCATGAATAGTGCACGAAAAGAACAACATCTTGACGTCACAAACATGTTCACATACTCTCATGCAGACATGCCTCTACATTAGCCTAGAAAAACAGCCTTTTCTCCTCCCTCTTCGCTGCTGAGGACATTTCGCGAGGAATGAGATCTGCGACTCAGCAACAAAAATTCCATACTGATGACGTAAAATCTGTCTGGAATCCGGTCACAGGCGCTGATTGGTCGATGGAGTAGTTACATTGTTTTAGCTATTGTTTATGAATGACAGACAAAAGACAAAAGGCCGCAAAGGTCAAATGTAAACGCAATGAACCTGTGACAAAATGGTCACAATTGGTGGAATATATTCTTCTCTAGAAGAAGCATTTGAGTTTTATGTTAGTAAAATTTGACCAGGAGAAACGCGAAATTGAACAAATTTGGATGTGGAACCCCATGACCACTGGATATATTAAGTAAACATTGATTCACGTCATCAGTATAGAATTTTTGTCACTGAGTCACAGACATTCCTCTGCACTAAACGTCCCCAGCAGCAAAGAGTGAGGAGAAACGGCTGTTTTCTCTCTAGACCAATCAGAGCACGTGTCCTATCTTAACTTTTTTATAAAAGGTAATGACTAATTGTGGAATTTAAAACAAAAGTGCACTTCACCATTTAAAATATCCATTGCATGAATGCAGCTGCTGGTTACAAGGCATTTTTAAGTTTCCTGTCAACTTTAATACAAAATAATGATAATTCTCAAAGTTCCTTAGTTGCTTGCCGAAGTATTTTCCTACCATTGGAATTCAAACTTAGAATTCTAAGGTTAAGTTGATATATTTGTGTTGACCAAAGTGGAAACTTCTTTGTAAGTTTTGACCATTGCTTTAAAGACATACCAGACTGTATGAAAAGACTTTTAATCAACATGTTCAGTGTTCAGCTCAGTGTTTGATTTAATAAAGATACATATGTAATGGAGGAAAACGAGTCAACTTGTGTATGGCATGATTTGTGTTAAAAACTTTATCCATCTCATAATAGTTAAGCAACAATTTTTATAACTTTCATTATCTTGTCATATATGCAGGCATCACTGTTCATGCAAATAATTAAGATCTGAACAATCTGGGTGAGCATGGTTTAGCTTATTTTGTCACTGAAATCTTCCACCTTCTGCACATGAGATATCCACGATCTATTTGTCAAGACTACATTGGATAAGGGGGCATCTCCAAATTTTGAAGGGTCAATCATCCAATTGTTCGAAAAAGGTGAAAAACGAGGAATATTACAGGTTCAGGAGCCCAGCAGTGGCACAAATCCATCTAAATCCGTAAAGATAATTGAATGCCCTGTCCCAATTCTGAACAGTACAGCCTTGACAAATTCAGTCGATGTGTGTACTTTTGTAGATTCTGTTATGCATGATGAGTATTTACACGGTCAGGAATCAATAAGTGGGGGCAGCTTGGAAAGTGAACTGGCCAAAAGCCCTTCTCCCGTTCCAGTTGATTTCCCTATAAAACAACACATTTCTTCCAACCAAAAAAAAAAGGAACTGGAAAAGGCACCGCTGACAGCAGAAGAACAAAAAGAGTGAACAGAAAACAAAGCTTGTCTGAAAGATGTGTGTGGTCTCTCTCTGGGTAGAATGAGGAAAATTTTGAAATCTGCATCCCAAAAACATCCAAAAGCATACGGAAGACCATATGAAGTGTTGAAAATCGTCTAGCAAGGTGAAAGACGTAGAATGGTCATTTACAAATCAGTAAGTTATATTGTAATTTGTATTGTAATTTATTTCCAGCTGTAGCTAAGGTTTAAGTAGCTCATTTCTCAAAATATGCAATATGCATGTATTCTATCAACAATTTAATTAGCCTCTTAAAAAAAACATGTGACCAGTGTATGCAAAAATAATAAAATATATTACTTACGTAAATTTTTACAATTGTTTATGAATGTTCTTAATTAAATAATGCTGCTGACAACTCAGGTTCCTTTACAGTGTAGCGTAATTGAAATTCAAAAAATAGTACAATTTAGGCTTTGAACGCAAAGATGTTAAAAAAATCAAATCTGCATGGCATTGTGGTACATTTGAGAGGCTTTTTGGGACATTTCTCGTCAGCTTCAGAATTGAAAACATAGCAGCACTTATCTTTTGTACAAGCAGGCTGGGTCCCCCCATTCAAACTTGGGAGACACTCCTCAAAATCATAAACAAGGGGCATCTTTAAATGCTGCAAAAGAGTGGAATAGTGCCCCCTGTAGACTGTGCTGGATTTGGGAAATGGTACTATTCCACCGTGCTGCTTGATAAAGTTAAAAAAATTTACTGCTCAGATTGTTGTCCTTAAACAGTCATCACACTGTGAACTAATGCACTTGACAAATTCAATTTGATACATTTTCGTTGTCAGATGTCCATGAGAAATCAATACTTGGAGCGGCAACTTGCCAGGATTGCAAGGTTAGGATTGCTTTTGGTTTTTTTTTCACTACTAATTGCTAAGGCTTTAAGAAGTTCACGGTCACTGATTTGCTCCCCTTGAGATTGAGATGCAAAGCATGTGACCCGAACGGGAGAACAGTCAATCTTCTTTCCATCCCAATATCTGCACTTGCAGCACGCTTCGTGTACAACCTCAGCTTTCCAGTTACAAATCTTATTTTCATTTAACCCTGCAAAATCCACCCAGGGAGAAGTTTTCTCTTCCAAGGCTATCGCGTGAGTAACGCTAGTAAGCCATTTTGAAAGAGGGGCCCAGCTGCATTCTATGGGATTGTGTCGAGTGTGTCCCTGGGCGTAAGATGTCAGAATGAAGATGTCAAGGTTTAAGTCTCGCCGCGACCTTCCAAAGTAGATCAGATTGGGTGTAGACTTTGGTGTCCAGTCTGGCACTCCATCACATATGCTAGTGACTGCTTTTTGTCTTTCCTTGACTGCTTTTTTTATTTCCACGACCTAAGGATGAGCTTCAATAACTGATGGTCTTCCCACCT